CAAGACAGCTTCAGCATGCAACGGCTGGTAGATGAGGGTTCTTTAAGACTTTTAGGAGAGTTTGGTCATGCTTCCACAAAGAACATTCGCAGGAAAGAGGACCATCCTTGGGTTGTGTCTAACTTAGCTTCTTGAAATTAATGAATTCTCCCTCTCTCATAATACTCAAACTCATGGGTGGATGTTGGGATGTTGGAAGAAGAAGAAGGGAGGTTTGGATTTGATATCCCGCTTTATCACTACCCTAAGGAGTCTCAAAGCGGCCAACATTCTCCTTTCCCTTCCTCCCCTACAACAAACACTCTGTGAGGTGAGTGAGGCTGAGAGACTTCAGAGAAGTGTGACTAGCCCAAGGTCACCCAGCAGCTGCATGTGGAGGAGCGGAGACGCGAACCCGGTTCACCAGATTACGAGTCTACCGCTCTTAACCACTACACCACATTGGCTCTGTACTGGAAGACTCAGGACGAAGAAAAAGAAAGTACTTACTCATGCAACACATAGTTAAACTGTGGAACTCACTCCCATAGGAGGGAGTGATGGCCACCAGCCTAGATGGCTTTGAAAGAGGATGAAATAAATTCATGGAGGAAGGGGCTATCAGTGGCTGCGAGCCACAGTGGCTATGTTCTGCAGACACGGTTGTTAGGTAATTTGATGTTGTTTAGTCATTTAGTCATGTCCGACTCTTCGTGACCCCATGGACCAGAGCACGCTAGGCACTTCTGTCTTCCACTGCCTCCCACAATTTGGTCAAACTCATGCTGGTAGCTTTGAGAACACTATCCAACCATCTCGTCCTCTGTCGTCCCCTTCTCCTTGTGCCCTCCATCTTTCCCAACATCAGGGTCTTTTCCAGGGGTCTTCTCTTCTCATGAGGTGGCCAAAGTATTGGAGCCTCAGCTTCATGATCTGTCCTTCCAGTGAGCACTCAGGGCTGATTTCCTTAAGAATGGAGAGGTTTGATCTTCTTGCAGTCCATGGGACTCTCAAGAGTCTCCTCCAGCACCATAATTCAAAAGCATCAATTCTTCGGCGATCAGCCTTCTATATGGTCCAGCTCTCACTTCCATACATCGCTACTGGGAAAACCATAGCTTTAACTATACGGACCTTTGTTGGCAAGGTGATGTCTCTGCTTTTTAGGATGCTGTCTAGGTTTGCCATTGCTTTTCTCCCAAGAAGCAGGCCTCTTTTAATTTCGTGACTGCTGTCACCATCTCGTCCTCTGTCGTCCCCTTCTCCTTGTGCCCTCAAGAAGAGCCATAGTTAAAAGGAGAAGTCGGCAAATGTGTCGGCAAATGCTTCTGAATACCAGTTGTTGGAAACTGCAGGAGGGGAGAGTTGCTCCTGTGCTTGAATCCTGCTTGTGGGTTTCCCATTCAGGCATATAGCTGGTAACTACAAAAACAGGATGCTGGACTAGATGGGTCGTTGGCCTGATCCAGCAGCAGGCTCTCCTTATGTTCGTATATTCTTAATGGACCAATTACTATCCGGGAATGCAAACCAGGGGCTGCAGCTGAGAAGGTGGGAAGCCAAGAAGCACAACTGGAAGAAGGGAAGACTTGCGGAAGCCATTGGGTTGAGGCCAATAAATGCCTTCTTTTATTAACAAAGTTTATATCCTACCTTTCTGCCTGCCAACAGGTCGCCATGGCAGCTGACAGTCAATGAAGACTGATATGTACCAAAAAAAAAAGATTATTTGAAAGGGAGTAACTTAAGGATGTGTGCTTGTGAAATATCACAATTCAGCAACCCAGTTCAGACTATTTTTACCTGCGGCATAAGAACTGTATCCTGAATCAGTCATTCCAAATCTCTTGCAATGATGGGGCGGTGGTAGGACTACAATATCCTTGGGGTCTCTTCCTATTCTACGATTCTGTGATTCTATGAGAATGAGAGTGCCCACCATTGCTGGACCACCATGCTCCTTGAGTTGGAGGGGTAATCTCTGAAGTGGGGAGTCTGTTCTACTTGTGTGAATGAGCGACGAAGCAAGACACTAGCCTTTTACAGTGGGGGCACCCACTAGGAGATCTTTCTGGGTTCCCTCCTTCATGGAGTCCAGATGGCAACAAGACAGGACCACCCCAGAGGGTGTGTGGGGCTGTCCTGTGGCTTTCTTGCATTTCTGTCTGCTTCAGACTTCGTGGCATCTTGGTTTTCTGGGCTGTGTTTTAACATGACACAAAAAGCATGGCTTAGTTCAGGGGTAGATAACATTTTTCAGGGTTCAAGGGCCACATTCCCTTCTGGGGGCCACATGACAGAGGTAAGCAGGACCAGAGGCATTATGAAGCATTACATGGAGGGCACCACATTCGTTTTCTGAGGGTTGCCGTATTTTGAAGAGCAAAAAAGAGGACACATTTGCCGACTTCTCCTTTTAACTATGGCTCAATAAGACAACTTTCATTTTAAATACCCTGACTATATGTAGGATATAGAAGCTGTGATATATTGCTTGTAGCAATGTTCTTAACTTTCAACAACAGAATAATAATAATTGTTGTTGTTGAAAGTTAATAATGTTGCTCCCTCGCTTGCCACTGGAAGTATTTGGGCTCATGTTCACATCTTTGTGAACTTAAGTATGCACAGAACAATTTATTAAACTGTTTAACATGCACATATGCACACTCCTTAAGGGCAGGCGGATGTTAACTCTTGTCCTCCCAGACTCCTTCTCCAATATATTGTAGCTGAGCCAGCATCCTTTTAGTTCAACCACAAGAGAAGGGATTTCTACAGTATGTAACTAGTTTAAGATGCTGTTCTGTTGGGATCCTCTGCTGCAGACTAGCTTGGCTGGGTGCCTTAGATCTGAGTCTAATGCACTAGGGAAAAAAATTATTGGGTTACTGTAAACAAAAACAAACAATAAATGAAAGATGCTCAGTGCGCGTAGAATGTTGACTATTGAGGGGTGGAGAAAGAGAGAAATGCAAATCAGGGTGGGGAGGTGGTGTGTCCCCAAAAAGGGCATGACTGTGCGAGCTGGAGCCCTGAGCAGGAACACTCTGTACTGTAACATTTTGTTGCAGATCCAACATATAGAGACACTTAATTGGAGTCTTGGGCTTCCAGGAGTTGATAAGGCAGTTGTCTACCTGCCTTTCTCCTGCCAGATCTCCAGTGCCTTTAACAACCACACCACAGATAAGCAAACCATCTGATGAAGCCTTTCATGGCAGGCAACATTTCCAACCTTTTTATTAGCAGAGCTGATAAGGGCAACAGGCGCGCTGCCAGGAATAAAAGTTGGCAGCCTCAGAGGGTAAAGAATGATAAAGGGATGCATTGCTTTCCCACACTTCCACATTCATGCATTCAAGTCAATGGGGGTGGGGGTTTATTGACCCATAGAACTGTAGAGTCAGAGGGCACCCAAAGGGTGATCCGGTTCAACCCTCTGCAATGCAGGGATTCCAATCCACATTTGGGATCGAGAGTGCAGGATAAGGGCATGGCCACATCCACCTTCCTTGCCCACATGGCAGCACTCAGGCAGAGGACTCATGTTGCCACATCTCAAGCAGAGCTGCACTTACACACACATTCAGTGTTTAGGATAATATTTTAGTTTGCTGTTCATTATGTCCGATTGTATGTTAATTGTATTTAAATGTATACTTTATATTTGACTTTCTTCAATAAGGTTTTATTCTGGATTGTTTTATATGCTGTTTTAATGTAGATTGCAAACTGCTTTCAGAACCCCCCCCCAAAAATATAAAGCAGTATAGAAATGGAAATTATTATTATTATTATTATTATTATTATTATTATTCATGGCACTGTGAAAAGTCACACATACAGGTCTCGCTTGTGGTCATCTGGCTAGGAAACCTCAAGATGGCCAGTAGCTTGCAGGAAAAGATCTAGGCTCCTGTAATTCACCTGGATTAAGGAACTCTGCCACCTTTGTGCAACAAACCGGCTTTTTAAAAAAAGAAAAAAAGAAACCAACTTCTTGAGATTAGGAAAGTGAAGGGCAAAAAGCGTTGAAAAGTGTGTATTGAAGGAATGATTACTGGGAAGCAAATCAGGATGATTTCACACAGACGAAAGCAGAAAGATTCAATATACAGTGGTACCTCGGGCTAAGAACTTAATTAGTTCCGGAGGTCCGTTCTTAACCTGAAACTGTTCTTAACCTGAAGCACCACTTTAGCTAATGGGGCCTCCTGCTGCTGGCACGCCACCAGAGCACGATTTCTGTTCTCATCCTGAAGCAAAGTTCTTATTTATGGGTTAGAGGAGTCTGTAACCTGAAGCGTATGTACCGTATTTATTGCACCATAACACTCACTTTTTTCCTCCTAGAAAGTAAGGGGAAATGTCTGTGCGTGTTATGGAGGGAATGCCTACGGGTAGCATGCCTACGGATTTTCCTCCTCTAAAAACTACGTGCGTGTTATGGTCAGGTGCGTGTTATAGAGCGAAAAATACGGTACCTTGAGGTACCACTGTAATCTAACCTCTGTGCAGGTTTTGCCCAAGGAAATCAGAATGCTCAGTAAATAAGTTGTCCAGAGTAATCCCTGGCCACTGTGAGAACTGGATCATAGATTCATAGAATGGTAAAGTTAGAGTGGTCCCCCAAAGGTCATCATCCAACCCCCTGCGATGCAGGAATCACAGCTAAAGAATTCCTGACGGAGGATGAGCATCCAGCTTCTCTTTAAATGCCTCCAATGAAAGAGAGTCCACCACCTTGTGAGGATCTTTCATTGTCATCCCACAGGGCTCTTCTCGTGTTCCCATGACCGAGCCAGGTCCTAAATCAGCCTAAATGCAATTTTTCTGGTTGAGAGACACATCTAAGAGCTGGTGTGCTCTCTCGGGGCTTTGTTGTCCCTAGGAAGTACAGGGTCTTCGATTCCCCCACCCCCAGGTTTTTTGGCCCCGTGACAGCAAAATGCAGAGGAAGAAACCCAGTTCTCAGAACCTTGGACGAGAGAGAGAGAGAGAGGAGGGAGAGAGAGAGATTCCGCTCAATTCCTTTATTTATATATTTTATTTTTAATTAAAAAATAAAGGTTATCTTGATACATCTCTTTGCAGCCTTTGGGCAAAAATGCACCCTCGAACAAGACTATAGGAAACACGATGCTTATCTAATCTTGGCACACGGGGCTGGAAAATAAATGCGACGCTCCTCCTGCAAAGTTTTCTTCTGAATTCCGTGGCTCGCTCTCCTCCCCGCCACCCCCAGATATTTCAGTGCTCCTACAGTAAGTGCCATATAAATCTAGAGACCAATGTATCCAAATCTGCAAAAGCTCTAAAAACACTGGTGTTGCTGTAGACATCGGAAATCTCCTTGGGTTGATATAGGCTTCATAAAGGGCTCGAGCTAAGAATCAGTTCACACCTTATTTCTGGGAACTTCAGTTGGAAAAAAAAGACTGGTCTTTAAATACTGATGCTGCAACATTTAGGTCCACAAAGAGGGGTGAAGGATAAATTTGATTCAGTCTGCGTTTAAAGGCAGCTCTTATTAAATGCACGCTTCTCAAAATGATACACGGACAAAAAGGCACTCATCCTCTAAATTCAACACTTTTCTGAATTTTGCAATCCAGTTCTCTAAATGTACATGTGTACACTAAGGTAAAGGTAAAGGGACCCCTGACCATTGGGTCCAGTTGTGACCGACTCTGGGGTTGCGGCGCTCATCTCGCTTTATTGGCCGAGGGAGCCGGCGTAGAGCTTCCGGGTCATGTGGCCAGCATGACTAAGCCGCTTCTGGCGAACCAGAGCAGCGCACGGAAACACCATTTACCTTCCAGCCAGAGCGGTACCTATTTATCTACTTGCACTTTGACATACTTTCGAACTGCTAGGTTGGCAGGAGCAGGGACTGAGCAACGGGAGCTCACCCCATCGTGGGGATTCAAACTGCCGACCTTCTGTTCAGCAAGTCCTAGGCTCTGTGGTTTAACCCACAGCACCACCCGCGTCCACACTAAGGTAAGAAGTGCATAAAAATGCATACGTTGGTGGAAACAGCATGCAAAGTTGCTTTCTAATGCACAGCTGCTGGTGTGTATTAGGCAAAACTGCATGCAGAAGCATGCATATGTTAGAGAAATCTATGCTAAGGTGCTGATGAATTTTCATAAGGACTTTTTAAAAAATAAATAAAATTGCGGACTGATGTGAAAATGTCGAGAACTGAATGTCAGATTGGAAAAGTGGGAAGTGACGTTGATTGATTCGCCTGTCTCAAGTTGCAACCCTTTCTCATCAGCAAGTGAATCCCATTGAACTCAATGTAGTTTACTGCTGACTAAACATGTTTAGATTTTTGTGGGTGAGTCAATCAATTGGCTAAATTAGTTAAATTTGGGGTGTATTCCTATACCCACCTACTGAAGAGTAAGTACCATTCACCTCAGCGGGGTTCTACTTCTAATGCAAAATCTATAGGATTGCACTTTTAAATCCTTTCTGAGCATGTCTGACCTGCCTCATTCTGCCACAGAAATAGACTGCAGATAACTGAGGGAAATGGTCTTTGCAAATTTCAATGCAAACTGATTTTATCTGCATCTCCTGGACCAATGCGTGGATCGGAACCCAGGCCCCACCTAAACTACATGGCTTCCCCCAAAAAAATCTTGGGGATGGTAGTTTCTCAAAGGTGCTGAGAGTTGTTAGGAGGTTCCCCCATCCCCCTTACAGAACTACAATTCCCAGAGTTCCCTGAGGAAAAAGGAGCAAATTGTTAAAACCACTCTGGGGAGGGGGCAGGTCACACCCACCTCCCACATGTAAATCTTAACAGCCATGGGTTCCCCTCCCCCCAAAGAATCCTGGAAACTGTAGTTTCTTAAGGATGTTGGGAATTATAGCTCCGTGGGAGGTGTACTACAGTTCCCAGGATTTTTTGGGCGGGGGGGGGAGAACTTTAATGGCATGGTGTGCACATAGCTTGATTCTCCATTCCTGATGTAGACCAGGCTCAATGATCAAGCGTGAAACAGTGTGAATCAACCCTCAGTTATGGCAACTTAAACTCAACTTATTGCCCCACTGTCTTTAGGGAGATGCAACAGTTGCACCCCCACTGAGCCCAAGACCTGCTCCAGATTCTTCCCCCAAACTTCCTGCCATCATCCTTCCAGCATTCTATCAAAGAACAGGTGGCCAGCAGACAGCCCTCCTGTAGTTCCCTGGTCACTTTCCCCTCCTTTCACTGCAGTCATATGAATCTCAATGCACAAACTCCCAGCTCCATGGCTCAGTGGTAAAGCAGCTGCCTTGCATTCAGAAGGTGCTGGGTTTGATCCTTGGTAGGTCTAGGAGAGGTCCAGGTAGATCTAGAAGAGTCCTCTGCCTGAAACCTTGGAGAGCCACAGCTGCCCAGCGTAAACAATACTGAGCTCGACTTGCCAGAGTCACCAAGGCACATTTGCTGGTTCTTTCTCTTCTGGCCTAAACCAAGCCACTGCCAAGTAGAGGAAACAGACCCTTCTTCCCTCCCTCACTGCTTTTACACTCAGAAGGCAGATGAACAGGCAGCTGAGAGCAGAAGGAACAGGCTAGGGTTTGGTTGTGGGCCTCCAGAAGAGGTCCAGGCCTTGGCAGGTCCCCCGAATTGCTGATCTTTGGTAGTGGCCCTGATCTTGATGCATGCATGCTTCTGGGGTACAGAAAACACCTCTTCACGCAGCACATAGTTAAACCACTCCCTCTGCTAGGTCTGGCGGCTGCAGCCCCAAAAAGGAGAAGAACGTTCCTCAAAGACAATGCAGTGGACTGGATCAGCAATGTACAGTGGTACCTCAGGTTAAGTACTTAATTCGTTCCGGAGGTCCATTCTTAACCTGAAACTGTTCTTAACCTGAAGCACCACTTTAGCTAATGGGGCCTCCCACTGCTGCCGCACCACTGGAGCACAATTTCTGTTCTCATCCTGAAGCAAAGTTCTTAACCCGAGGTCCTATTTCTGGGTTAGCAGTGTCTGTAACCTGAAGCGTATGTAACCTGAGGTACCACTGTAATACAGAAACGTATCTGTGTAGGTCTCCATTTCAAGGTATATTTGTATAAATTGGTGGTCCCTGTATTTTAATGGTGTATCTCTGCATGTTCTGTATAGTAGGCACAGAATATTTATTTCCTTTTGGGGGATGAAACGACCAAGATGGTCACAACAACAATTAAACTTTGACTTGACTACTCACTCCCACAGGAGGCAGTGATGGCCACCAACTTGGATGGCTTTAGAAGAGGGTCAACAAAGTCGTGGAGGAGGAGAGGGCTACTGATGGCTATTAGCCATAATGGCTCTGCTGTTGAGAGAGTGTTATTGTGGTCTGTCCCAGGTTGGCCACTGTGAGTACAGGGTGCTGGGCTAGATGGCCCACGGGCCTGATCCAGCAAAGACTCTTCTGAAGTCCTTAGTTTAGGGCTGCCATACTTCTGAAAATTCCCGGACATAGCCGGGATTCATCTGTCACAAATGGCATGCAGGCGGAATTTTCGAAAAAACGTCCAGGGAAAACCTGGGACAGCCCATATCAAGAGTGTTGGTTTTTTGGCGATGTTCCTAAAAAATAGCTCAACAACTTTGGGCAAAAAAGAAAAAAAGAAAAGAAAAGAAAAAAGAAAAGCGCAACAACTTTTGTGTCTGGATTTTCACTTTTGGAAACATGGCAAGCCGACCTTAGATATGCCTTCTCTTCTGACATCAACAAGGAACTCTTCTACTGAGAGTTCGAATATTGCTTCATTGAGATCAGGATTTCCTACGCTAACTGGCTGTGGCACTCCAGAGCTTCACGCATGGAACTTCCCAGCCCCACCTGGAGATGCTGCCAGGAACCGAACCCGGGGCCTTTTGTCTTTAAAGCAGATGCTCTACCACTGAGCTACCACTTTTCCTTCCATGTGCACCAGAAGTTTGTATTGCCACCACTGAGCTCTGGGTGGCTACAGGCAGGCCTACCCGCTTGCCCCTGCCGCAGCCAATGCAACTTTCACATCCACCATGAACCAAACCAATACATCCACAACTCTTGCCGCTGCCCCAGCCTCTTGCCCACCCCCTGCCACCACTTCAGTCTTGCCCCTATGGGCCACTGCTGCTGCCAAGCCCTCCAAGTCAGAGAGTGACTTGAGGAAGTTGGACATCTACTCCTGCGTTTCCCTCACCCCTCCGATCTTTGTGGTGCTGGAACGTAAACATCCCAGATTCCCAAACACCCCTGTTAAAAACACCTGTGCTTTGGCCCGTTCCCAATTAAGCACTGGTTGCAGAAGAATGCTATGTTGGAACAACAACAAAGGACCTTTTGTTTTGTTTGGCAGTCACTGCTCTGAACCCATTTCACAGATGAGGATAATAAGGGGGAAGATGAAAAGGGACAGTTTTCTCTGGCAGCCGTTCGCTAAGGAGCCTCTTCCTCCCAGCTCCCTGTGCATTTCCAAAGTCTCAGATTTGCAAGCATGCAGTCTCTTCGGGAGGAGAGCTCAGGCCCCACTGTCTGTGGGGAGGGTGTACACACTGCATTGGAAAGAAGGAAACTGTCGCTGCTGCCTACACGGGGTCTCTTTGCTCCACAGCGACCCACCCATACTGTTCGATTTCATAAGGCACCAAGTGTGCACGCCTCCAGTTTGTACATTGTCCTTTTGGGAAGTGTGGGGAGTTTTTTTTCTCTCTCTCTCCCTCTCTCTTAACTTGATGCAGTTTCTCCCAGAGGGGTTTCAGCTGTGTTTTTAGGAGATTCCTCTGTCTCTGAAGGGGCATCCAATGGCTCCCCGGTCAACCCACACTCTTTCGTGGCCTGGCTTTCCTCCAAAGCCGGCTTGTGAGCTTGGCTGTTCATCTTCTCCTCTGCTTCGATCTCTTCGGAGCTGGGAATGGAGTTTTTCTTAGGGCGGCCTTTGGGTTTTGTGGGGGCCTCCTGCCCGCCTTTCAGAACCTGGAACAAAAAACCCAACATGCTGAGTGTCTAATTGCTACTTTCATGGCTTTTTTTTTTTTAAGTGTTAAGTTGGACTAACAATAAAACCTTACAGCATGGAGAGTTCCTGTGCCCTGTCCAGCCTGCCATGCCCTCTCCCAGGATATTCCATCCCATCCCCTACTTTTCCATTCCTCCTCCCAAAAGTCAGTCAGCATTCCAAGCCCACTGAGCATGCTCAGTCCTCAATAGGGTGTTTTTAGAGTTTCCCACCCTACTGATTTCTTTCCTGTTGTTTTTAGGGGTTTCCTCCAGGCCTGAAGATACCTCGCTTTTGTTTCCCCATTTTGTCTAGTATTCTATCAGCACTCTGCAACTGAATTCACTGATTCATCTTTTGCTCTGCAGTACTCAATTAGCACAAAAAGCATCAGAGATTTTTGTCTTACCGTTTAGAACTTTTTATTTATTAAATTTAATTTTTGAAAAGGGGGCTAGAAATGTTCTGAAGTAAATAAATCTTAAGACACTGATAGAGGAGGCAATCCACTCTGATGCTGAAAGGCATTAATAAAATATTATTTTATTATCCCAAGTGTCAGAGAAGCAGGAGGATTCTTGGATGAAAATCACATTTAGGGATGTCACCCAACTAAGGAAGTCTTACACTTCAATCCTATGCGGGTTTACTTTGAGCTGAGTCTCACTGCCTAAAGAAACTGCAACTTAACTAAGTTTTTTAAAAAAAAATAACAACTAAGTTTTACGTTAAAAATGTGATCTTAAAAAAGGAGACACAAACCTTTTGCCCCTTTTCATTTGATTTCATTTTTGCCTTGGACACACCCTGTACTCATGCCTCTGTTTACCACAGTACCTACCATTTTCTTCCACTTCATCCTGCGATTCTGGTACCAAGTCTTCACCTGAAGTTGAGTTAGGCCCAGGGACTGAGCGAGATCCAGCCTGGAAAACAAGAGATCCAAATCAATCCAAATCAACGACAAAAGGAAGACGCGCCATCCACGGCCAAGATCTGATTAGCTCACATCCTGCGGAAAGCGAACAAGTTGTACAGACACTGGAGGGGAAAACCAAGGAACACTAACAGCCAGGGGAAGATAGTCATCACCGACTGACAACGTGCCCTGTCCAAATAAATCAACTAAAGGAAGCTAAAGAGAAGTTGTAATTCCCCCTTTGGTGTAATTAACTGGTTTCTCCCCCCACCCCCACAAATAAATAATTTGTTGCAAATAACAACGCAAACATTTGAGAGGTGCAGAAACGAGCAATGACTTGTTTGTCTGATATCATACGGTCCATGACTTAAGAAAGAAAATGATGAAGAGGGGAAAAGCAGAGAGATATGTTATGAACAGGGGCATAGAAAGGGGGGGTGGGGGTGCAGTCTGCCCCGGGTGTCATCCCTGAGGGGGTGACAAAATGGCACACCGTGGGGGGCAGCACTTACCGGGGGGCCTGGCCTGCAGTGCGCCCGAGGCACACATCTCTCCTGGGAGTGACACGGTGGCTCGGGGCCCCACGCTGCCCAAAACGGCAGTGTGGGGCTTGCGTCCGCCAGGCGGACTCTGTGGGCAGCTCGCCACAGTGCCCCCCTAGGCACCCCCGTGGACGACTCGCCCTGCCCCCACCACTCCGGCTGCCCTGGTTATGAATAATAAGATCATGATGCCATGGAAGCACAACAGAGCCATCAGTAATAAGTCCTGGAATGCAAACTTAACTGATTGTTTCAGGTTGAACAGCATCACCTGCACAGTAATTTCCTGTGGGGCTTATATAGGAGAGAGACGGAGCCAGTGATGATCGGTGCACTAAGAGCTCATCCATACTTCTGCTTGTCTTATGCAGTTTTCTGCTTGTCTCGTGCCTTTCTAGGCTCTGGTCCAAGCAGTTTTGCCTTTGCCCCACTGCTTTCCTCAGGAAAACTCACTCTTTGGCGCTAAATCAGAACAAATGGCAATCTGTGGGAAACCCCATTGCTGCAGCTTTTGCCAGGGGGAAGTGGCAGGGCAAACAAACAGAGGTGTGAATAAGTCCTAACTTGGAAAGAAGCCCCATTGAACGCAGTGGGATTTCTCCCTGAGTCAGCATGCCTTGGACTGGGCAGTTAAATTGCTTTCATTGCTCCTTAAAGCGACGGTCCCAAGAAGAGACTTAAGTAAACACCTGCAAGTTCAGGCTGCGCAATTTTGCAGGCCTGTGGTCTGTCTCATGCATGTTCAAAAACAATGTTAAGGGTTTGGTGATGCTAAAACAGAGGCCACCAACCTTTCAGACCTGGGTGTGTGTCTGAGCGTACCATGTTGCCCATGAGCCCAGCATCGAAGGACCTCTTATTAGTGGTTAGCGTGTCAGACTAGGACCAGACGAGGCTTCAAATCCCCACCTTGGGCCAGTCACTGCCCCTCAGCCTAACCTACCTCACAGGGCTGTTGTGGGAATTAAATAGCGGGGAGAACCATGCGCACCCTCCAGAGATTCTTGGAGAGAGAAAACTGTGGGGTATAAATGAAATAAATAGATAAATAAATCTACCAGCCTCTCACTGACCTTCTTGTGCAAAGGTGGATTTGCTACTCTGGTTTTCCACAAAGGCTGGAAAGCCAGACGGAACTCGTCTTCCTAAGGATTCAGAACTCAATAGCATTCAGATCAAACTGGGTTTCACCTGAGATTTCCTTGATAAGATATGGGAAGGTCCCCTGCGCGGGCACACACAAACACACAGCCAAGCACCACTGTGTTTACGTAAGGCCCGTTGGTTAAGGACCAAGTGAAAGACTAATCTCCTCGGATGAAACTTGCTGAACAAAGAAATCTGAAAGAGACCTGCTGGCATGACATCTTTGCTGTGCCTCTGACATGATTAGCATCAGTGAACCAGAAACACAAAAGGTGCGAGGGCAGCCTAAGCCAAGCTTGATGCACTCGGTCACGTCTCATACACACCACCGGCTGCACGGTAGATGACTCTGAATCACCCTGAAATTTGCCAGGTCCTTTTCTCTGCGGTGGGGTTCCAATAGCTGTGTTCACATGGCAATCGTTTTACCAGTTGGTTGCAGCCCCAAAAGGCCCAGAGGACTTGGCTTAAAGAAGGACAACAGGTGACCTACTTCTTCCACTCGTTACCCGTTTCTCAAGGAGCTGGAAACATAGCAGCAAACCTTATAGCAAGTCGGAACATGGGGCCATCTGGCTTGGTCAGTATCATGTCTACACCAGATATGGGCAACCTCGTACCCTCCAACATTTCAATAATAATAATAATAATAATAATAATAATAATAATACATTATTTATACCCCACCCATCTGGCTAGGTTTCCCCAGCCACTCTGGGGGGCTTCCAACAAAATATTAAAAATACATTAAAACAGTCATTAAAAACTTCCCTAAACAGGGCTGCCTTCAGATGTCTTCCAAAAGTCAGATAGTTGTTTATTTCCTTGACATCTGATGGGAGGGCATTCCACAGGGCAGGCATCACTACCGAGAAGGCCCTCTGCCTGGTTCCCTGTAACCTCACTTCTTGCAAGGAGGGAACTGCCAGAAAGCCCTCAGAGCTGGACCTCAGTGTCCGGGCTGAACGATGGGGGTGGAGACGCTCCTTCAGGTATACTGGGCTGAGGCTGTTTAGAGCTTTAAAGGTCAGCACCAACACTTTGAATTGTGCTTGGAAATATACTGGGGGCCAATGTAGGTTTTTCAAGACTGGTGTTACATGATCTTGGCGGCTGCTCCCAGTCTATCTGCCGCATTCTGGATGAGTTGTAGTTTCCGGGTCACCTTCAAAGGTAGCCCCACGTAGAGCGCATTGCAGTAGTCCAAGCGGGAGATAACCAGAGCATGCACCATTCTTGCGAGACAGTCCTCAGGTAGCTAGGGTCTCAGCCTGCGAACCAGATGAAGCTGGTAGACAGCTGCCCTGGACACAGAAAAACCACTAGCTTTGATGCTCCGTCTACAATCAGCAGCACCGACTCATTCTAATGCTAACCTGCCTTACAGGGCTGTTGTAATCATCGCTGAGATCAACTCTCTACAAAGTGTTTTGCACACTCAGCTTTGCTATAGCAACACTGAGTGTTATTATCGGCAGGGCAGAGCCCATCAAGGTTGCTGCTTATCAGGCCCATCTGCCCTCTGTTGCCATTAGCGAGCCTCGTCATTCAACGGTTCTCTTCAGGCTTTCTTTAAGACCCACATCAAAGGGAGCAAGGGCAAGGGCAAAGCCGTTGGCAAGACTCCTGAACAGTGTGCCGCTGGGCACACTGGTGTGAGGAATAGGGTGACCATGTGCTCCACTTCGTAGCGGGTGGCCCTATGTTTGGAGGGCTTTCTGGCCAAAGTCCAGTTTAAAAATAAAGAGCCATAAGGAGGGAGTGCAAGGAGTCATGAAGTTGGACGGCCACCCGAGCAGGAACACTGCTCACCTTGCCATATGGTCTTCCTGACAGTGGTGAGGTACATTGCATCTCCATTTCCATGAGAGCAGTGACCTCTGAACTGACATTAAGATATATAAATTAACCTTTTTGCAAGTTTCATGCAAATCTGTGACTCCTTTTGCCCCCTTTTCTGATGCCGATGACTACTTCTCTTTTTTGGCAACACATAAGCAAAGTGCAAGTAGATAAATAGGGAAGGTAAACGGCGTTTCCGTGCGCTGCTCTGGTTCGCCAGAAGTGGCTTAGTCATGCTGGCCACATGTCATGGAAGCTGTACGCCGGCTCCCTCGGCCAATAAAGCAAGATGAGCGCCGCAACCCCAGAGTCGGTCATGACTGGACCTAATGGTCAGGGGTCCCTTTACCTTTAAGTAACTACTAGTAATAATTCCAGCATTGCACAGGGTTGGCCTAAAGAACTGTTGGCGTTCCTCTTCCAACTCTACTGTTCTATGATTCTAGTTTCACAAGTAGGCCATGAAAACATCTAGCATCAAACGGGATGCATTGGGGTTGCCCCAAGACCTGTTGCTACCCGAGGTGATGCTCAAGATGGCATCCTTCCTTATTCCTCATCCAGAAGAAGTGATCAGCCAGGCCATCCACTAGTTTTCAAGGAGGAGGAGAGTCTCTTGAGAAAAAACATGCATGCGTGGCCATTTTTTGAAGCGTCAAGGGAAGGGCATCTTGAATTTTCAACCAGGAAAGGAAAATATAGCAACATCTGCTGCATCTTTGGGAGGTGATGCTGGGAGCCTGGCGGAGGTTTTGCCATCACTGAATCTCAATCTTCACACGGGAAAGGCACCTGGTTGGCGGCAGGGGCTCATCGCGGCAAGATTACCTGTAACCCTTTGCAAACTGGTTGCTGCGCCTGTTTAGAAACAACAGGCACTGCCTAGGAAACCAAAGCAACAAACAAGAGGGAGGGAGAGAGGGAAGGGGCAGGAGTTGCCAGAGCTGCGCTGGCTCATCATGCTCAGTCACGTAGGATGCCAAGGCTTATTAGTGCCAAGAGAGTCGTGTGTGTGATTGATGGTGTTGCCCAACCAGTCATGCGAGGTTCTGAGCTGGCACCACACTAGCCACCCAAACCCTTGAATGGAATCAGGACCCCTTACGAGAGGGACAAAGGAGCCCTTGGTGCTGAACACTGTGGGCAAGAGCCCTTGGTGTACGGTGATGGCAGTGGATCTACAGGCAGCGGCAGCTGATGCCCATGACAGTGTCCTATACCTCCCATTGTTCTAGGTGCATTTTGTGGCAGGGAATTTCATTTGCACAAGCAGTTTCTGAGTTCTGGGCGCAGTACTGCGCCTAAGATTTCAGATTAAAACTGCAGAGTGGAAGGAAAGAAGGACCTTTTTCCTGTCTCCCCACTTCCAGCTACTCTCTGAAGATTGGAGAAGAAACCCTCTTAAGAATATCAGGGAGGTGGGCAGGGGAAGGACTAGAATCATGTGGGAAATGAACATAATATTTTAGCTGTTCATTCATTTCAGCTTTGTATTCTTGTTATAAAAAAGTGCACCTATACATTCTGTTGTTGAGCCTATAACTTAGGTTTAAGGTGCCATTTAGCTCCTAGCTTTTATATCTCAGTTTCTAACGCTGGCCCATAGGGGGGCTGGCAGGGCAGAAGCCAGGGAACCTGACAGCAGGGGGTGCCAGAACTAAGTAATTCGCAAGCGTGTCCTAGAGTGGACGCACTGGGCGGACCTTGTCCTCCAGCCAAGGTGGAGAGCTTAAAACCACTTTCGACATGGGGAAGCCCCAAGTGGAGGAGGGGGCTATCAATGGCTACTAGCCATGATGGCTACCTCCGCAGCTAGAGGCAGCCACGCATCTGAAAACACAGGAGGCTAGAGTGCTCTTGTGCTCATGTTCTTCTTGCTGGTTTCCCAGAGGCATCTGGTTGGCCAGTGTGAGAACAGGATTCTGGACTAGATGGGCCATTGGCCTGGTCCAGCAGGCTTTTCTTATGTTCTTAAATGGACCTGGCATTTGAAGAGCTTTTAAGCTCTCCACATCACTCAGATTTAACGTGCGCAACTGCAACCAGAATTTTTGCCTAGCATTTCTGATCAGCAATGCAATCATTGAATACTTTTGAAACAAACATATAGCGTATTTTTCTGTCTATAAGAGGCCCCCGTGTATAAGACCCCCCCTATTTCTGGGGACCCCAAATTAAGAAAATAGGGGGAAATTGCCCCATGTATAAGATGACCCCCCCCTTTTCTTAACATAATTTTAAAAGAAAAAAACCTAGTGTTATACACAGAAAAGTACGGTAATTAAAGTCTTCATTACCCCAAACCTTCAGTAATGTGATGAATTGGTGCAGAGGCTCCCATCTTAGACTTTTCCCTACTGGCCTATAAAAATAAGCAACATTTCCTTTCCCTACTGATTGAACCAGCATCCCTTCTCTTTCAGTGGAAACATAGGGATCAGCCTTTCAAAGGGGTACCAGGAAGGAAGGAAGGAAGAAGCCTTTTCTCTCTTCTTCATAAGTATCACTGCACATCAATTCATGATGGCATGTGTGCGTTTGAAGCATTCCCACAGCCCTGGTATGCATTTTCCACTGATACAATCTACTCATGTCTCCTTTGATTTTATCTTCTTCTTTTTTATTTAAGGCAAGGGTGCTTTGAAATCTGACCCGACCATGTGACCGAGCACTCCACTGGGAGCAAGCTCATCTCCACGTGCCCAGGCACCACGGCTGTGCTCTCAGCTCCTGAACAGCTGAGAGGAACATCACAAGCCAGCATCCTGGTGAGGCTGGGAGGAGGACCCAGCCGCCAAACCCAGCTCAAGAAACACGTTTGTCCAGAAACGGAAGCCCGCAGAGAGTTTGCTTCTGCAAATGATGCGGCGAGGCTAAAGTGTGGAGGTTTGAAGTGGGGATATTTGCAGGAATTCAAAATGGCAAGGATCTGCCTGTTGGTCCCAGTATGTTTCCGAGCACAATTCAAAGTGTTGGTGCTGACATTTAAAGCCCTAAATGGCCTCGGCCCAGTATACCTGAAGGAGCGTCTCCACCCCCATAGTTCTGCCCGGACACTGAGGTCCAGCTTCAAGGGCCTTCTGGCGGTTCCCTCACTGAGAGAAGCCAAGTTACAGGGAACCAGGCAGAGGGCCTTCTCGGTTGTGGTGCCCGCCCTGTGGAAATCCCTCCCATCAGATTTCAGAGGAATACAGAGGAAACAACTATCTGACTTTTAGAAGACATCTGAAGGCAGCCCTATTTAGGGAATTTTTAAATATTTAATGCTGTATTGTTTTTTAACACTTGATTGGGAGCCACCCAGAGTGGCTGGGGAAACTCAGCCAGATGGGCGGGGTATAAATAAATAAATTATTATTATTATTATTATTATTATTATTATTAGTCCTCTCTCTGGTTTGTGCAGCAGCAAATGGGTTCTTGTTTATTCATGTGTAAATAGAAAGATATAATTGAAAGGAGTGACACCTTCCATACAAGTTAGGCAGATTAAACACAGAATGTGTTTTGTTTTCAGATGGCCAGTGTAGAAGTTTTTTTAGGTTTTACAAATTATCAGTAGGACAAAAGGGCGATTCCTTTCCATTTAACTTGCTCATTGCTAAATAAATATGGGGGAATATTTAAGATTTTCAAGTGGTCAGGCTTCCCAGATGTGTGAATGTTTTTATGTGTCTCGTCCACGTTCGTTAATTTCAACAGGTCTCCTCTGAGTAATGGAGACAACCCACTGTCTGTTTCAGTTATATATATATATATATATATATATATATATATATATATATCAGTGTTAGCTCCTGGAAATCAGAATACTACAGCACGATAAAAAGCAGTTCTGAGTTAAAGCCCCCTCAACCAACCTGTCTGGAGTGGAGAGGTACTTCTGCTTCTGGAACTTCTTCTCCAGCCCCATGAGCTGCAGCTCTGTGAAGATGGTGCGGCTGCGGCGAGGCTTCTTCAAGCGGGGGGCAGACTGCTCCGCCTCCGACTCGCTGCTCCCGTGGGTCTCGCTGGCCTGGGTCTCTGAGCAGGTGCTCCCCGGCGTCGGGTGTGGTGAGAGGACGCGGGAAGTGCCGGCGGCAGGGATGAAGTGGGAGACGGCCGAGGGCTGCCTGGTGATGACAGAGATGAGAGGATAGGCCCTCAGAGAAGGGGAGCCTGGGGAACAAGCATCAGAGAAGGAGAGGGGTTATACCACAAGTTAGGGCCTTTGCAGGAGAGGTTGAATCATCGTGGTTCAGAGCCGCCCAATCAGAGCAAGGGCGATTGGGCAGGAAGAGGGGACATCCTGAAGTTGCATGCATGAGCTTTGTGCCTCCCACCCTAAGCCAGGCAGAAGCTTCACGGGTTTCGGGATGGAGGCACCAGGATTTAATACTACAATGCTATAATTTACCGGGAACATTTAGGGGAGTAGCCTAGTCTCCCATGTCCACTGGCTGACTACACGCCACTGCTGATTGCCTGTGATGGCCTGGGACTCGGGCTCAGACTCGGAACCAGAGGAGACTCAGTCTGCACCGGATCCTTTGCCTCAGGCATCACCTGAACCAAGTCTGGGGCCTGACCCTGAAGAGTTCTAGTCCGCGCAGGTTCCCCTGCAAAAACACCAGCTGGGCCGAGTCAGGGGCCTGAGCCTGCCCTGGCTCCAGATGTGGGGATTACCTCGTTGCCTTCAGCTGGGCCATCACTTACAGCTGCTCCACTACCGGTTTGGTCAGGGGAGGCTGAGGCGGCCTTTGGGTCTAGTAACCCACCGACGCCTCCTGAGCTGTAGAGACTAAGGTCTGAGAGAAGGAGAGACCTGAGTACTCGCAGGAGGAGTGCTCACCTTTGGGCGAAACAGGGAGGTGAGTCGCTGGGGGATCAGGACCGGCCATTCGCCGACAAAGATAAAAGGCTGTCGGACCCCAACCCAGGTTGCAGAAGCAACATTGTTGTATGCCAGAGATCCTGTACCTGTCCTTGCCTGGTTTCCTGCCTTGTGTCCTGCCTTGGCCCTGTTGGACTGACTCCTAGCAGAACCCTCGGGTCCTAGACCGGCCCTGGACCATGTTTCATGGGTTACCCCCGGGCCCAGCACATTGCCCTATGCCTGTTTGGTTGAAAATAACTCTATGCTCAGCAGGACTTGTTACCATATTGGCATGGACAGCCTTGAGACTATTTGGCCAGCGTTTGACAGCTGCAAACGGAGCCCAAGGCTCAAAAGCTCAGCTTCTGTCCCAGCTTTGCACAAACATCTCTAGCCTTCACCACTGTGTTTACTCACGGATGTGTGAGCTCCTTGCTTTGCTCAAATGTACCCGAAAAGAAGTTCTATAAAAAGCGCCACCATCAGAACGCGTGAAAATTGGACGCATTATGCCAAGTCTCTCGAGCCAAGACTGAAGTGGCTGTCGCTTCACCACCCTTCTTTGTGTGAACGAGGAGACAGACATCTGCTCCTGACATGCTCCTGTGCTGCTTCCGAAATTGGTGGGAGATCGTGTCAAGGTAAAGGGCCAGCTGGCCACGTCCTCCTGACCAGCCTGAGAACATCCCATTTCAGTCAGCAATGGCTGCGGTTCAACAGCAATGGAGACCCAGGACAAGTCTCCTTCCACTGCTCTTGAAATCCCTGCTGCACCCATGAACGGTAATCGGAAAGATCAATATATCTGCACCAAGTCTGGTTATGTTCCTAAATGTGTATTGAATCTTTTAAAAAGACCCACATTCCCAAGCTCTAAGGCTAGGACAACATTTCTGTGCTGGAGTCTCCTGCTTAGTTTGCTTGTGTGTTAATTAAGACACTTTGCCACTTTGCCATCTTTCCTCTATGGTGAGACATATTGCATTGCTATTTAAATTCTAATAATTATTTCTGAATTCACATTGCTACATATAAACCAGCATGTGCAAATGTTATATGTCCCTTCATTTGTCTTATTTTGGGGCCAGGCATTTCCTAATTTTTTTAAAAAGCTGTGCTTAAACTGACCATCCTATTCAAAAGAGGCTAAGAAAGCTACTTCCATGTTAGGTTTTCAAAGGGGTTGCAAGGACTTTCTGTTTTTATTTTATTTATTCCATTGCATTTCTATCCCACCTTTTTCTCCAAGGAGCTCCAGGCAGAATACATAGTTCTCACACTCCTCACTTAATCCCCACAACAACCCTGTGAGGTAGGTTAGGCTGAGAGGTGGCAACTGGCCCAAGGTCACCCAGTGAGCTTCATGGCCAAGTGGGGGATTTGAACCCGGGTCTCTCAGGTCCTAATCTGACACTGTAACCACTACACCACACTGATGTAGTGCAAGCCAGGACAGGCATTTGGCTGAGCTAGGTCATCTTCTGTGATTGTGGCTTAATTTGCAGTTTTTATTTGGACACATTTATACTGCGATTTTTTAAATTGTATTTTTTAAAAAAAGAATATTGTGAATTGCTTTGAGCTGATGGCTCAGCTGGTAGAGAGGGGGGCTGCAAGCTCCTGGCTCAGTTCTGGCTTAGCTTTGTTTAGGGAAAGGGTTGTGGCTCCACACAGTGAGCATAAGCTTTGCAGGTTCAAGTCCTGGCATTTCCAGACAGGACTTGGAAAGAGACCCTAACCTTGGAGGTCCACTGGTCAGGGAAGACTGACCCAGGCGGACCACCGGTCTGACTCAGTGCAGAGCAGCTTCCTATTATTGTAAACAGTTTGAACGGATAAATAGAAAATGAAACCGTTCCACCCCTGAACGCTGCAAGCTCACACAAGCTTCCCACATTAAAAACAATCTTAAAAACGAAGACAAAACTCAAAAACTAAACAATCAGCAGAGACCAGCGGATAAGAGGTTGGCCGCAAACTCAAATGACACAAGTTCTATTCTGAGTTCTGACTCACTCCATGACCTTTCACAAGTCATTTTACGTCTCCATCTCCATTTCATTTACTGACACCCCAATCTCTAAGAACAGTTACTTGGAAGGGAGCCCCATTGACTCTGAAAGCACTTTCCCTATGTGTCCCAGATTCTCAGCAGTGGCAACAACAACGACAACCCTTTAAGGTAGGCTTCAGGGGAGAGAGGATGTCTTGCCAAAGGCTGCCTAGTGAGTCCATGGCTGGGTGAGATTTAAACTTGCAAATCATTTATTTAATGCTGTTGGTGGTTGGAGCACTGGGCTGGGACATGATTTAGACCCCCACCCAGCCCTGAAGCGCACTGGGTGATCCTGGGCCAGTCATGAGCTTTAAGAGAGTGGGGCCCAGTTTAGCCCAGCATCTTGTTTCCATGGGAAGCCTTTGGGAAGCCCACAAGCAGAACAACACTCTCCTCCCTTGTGTTCCCCAACAACTGATATGTCTGAGGCATACTGTGTCCAACAGAGGAAGCAATACATAGCCAGCATGGCTAGTAGCCATTGATGGCCTTCCATGAATTTCTCTAATCCCCTTTTAAAGCCGTTCAAGGTGGTGGCCATTGTTGCAAGCTGTGCCAATGACTCCAAGTGTTTAAATACAGGATGCATGGAAGAAGAAGAAAAGTACTTCCTGTGTGAAAAAGCCTGTCTTTCTGATCCAAAGAATTCTTTACCTGGATGCAGCAAGGATCTCTAAAGCTCAAAAATGGAAAACAAGGCGGGATCTAGACATTTTTCAGCGGTACAAAACCATGCAGACTCTGGCTAGGGCAGGGAAAATAACTTGCAAATTCTGTGTTTCTGTTTGGCGGGACTTTATTTCTTACACGTCAAACTTGGACATGCAAAACTCTCCCCATGCCAAATCGCAAAATTTGTGTATCGCAATGTGCTTTTCTTTTTTTTAATATGTTATTTATTTATGTATAAAATTATACACCGCTTATTCGTTAAAAAAAAGAAAAGAAAACCCTAAAAGTGGTTTACCAAAATTTTTTATCAGTGAGGTGAATTGCCAATAATTTAAGACTTTCCAAAAGTTAAAATAACAATAAACTAAAAACAGATGAAAACTCACATCCTATACCACCTGATCTCTACTAATTTGCATGAACAATCTCTGCACTGCTCCTGTAGTTTGTGGTTTTGTTTATGTTCTTTCACATCTGTATCTTTGACCCTACATTAATTTAAAAGAATTCTTGCAAAACAAGAAAAAAAAGCCTATTCTGAAACTTCCGACACTCAGTTTCATTGGATGACCCTGGTATCCTAGGCTGATGAGCGAATGAGAAAAACATCTCTCTATCTACTTTCTCCATGGCATGCATAATATTGCAGTGGTACCTCGGGTTACAGACGCTTCAGGTTACATACGCTTCAGGTTACACACTCCGCTAACCCAGAAATAGTGCTTCAGGTTAAGAACTTTGCTTCTTGATAGGAACAGAAATCGGGCTCTGGCGGCGCAGCAGCAGAAGACCCCATTAGCTAAAGTGGTGCTTCAGGTTAAGAACAGTTTCAGATTAAGAACGGACCTTCAGAACAAATTAAGTTCTTAACCCGAGTTACCACTGTATATACTTCTATTGCATATGCACATTTCTTTTCTAAACTAGAAGACCCTGTGATTATTTTGACTGCCCTTTGCTGAACCTTTTCAGACTCCAAAGCAGGGGGTCAGCAATATTTTTCAGCCGTGGGCCGGTTCAGACCATGTGGTGGGCTGGACTATATTTTTTGGGGGGGAGGAATGAACGAATTCCCATGCCCCACAAATAACCCAGAGATGCATTTTAAATAAAAGCACACATTCCACTCATGTAAAAACACGCTAATTCCCGGACAATCAGTGGGACAGATTGCGAAGGCAATTGGGCCACATCCAGCCCCTGGGCCTTAGGTTGCCTACCCCTGCTCTACGGTATCCTTGTCATAGCCCTAACCCACCAAAATGAGGTGGGTGGGTAGCCATGCAAAGCCCCTTGAGTCCCTTTGAAGATGGCCCAGTCCAGAATTTCAGAGAGAGAGACTCATTTTATAGGCAGAAATGGTAAAAAAAAGACTTTCAAGTCTTTTGGAAAGCTCCCAAACCCCGCATGCTTCCCATCACACGAGGCTAAAGTCAGCCAAAAACATCTGCTGGGAAGCTTTGACTGAACTCCTCAAGCCCGCTGGACGTGACACAATTATCTATACGTGGCCTTCAAACAAGATCCCATTTCAAAAGTTTCAATTAAGATCCAATGCCTCAAAGGAATCCCTTTTTCTCCACGCCTGCCCGATCCCCGCGACATGGATCGACACAGCAGATGTTATAATGGGGAGACAGAGACGAGCAGGAAAATGAAGCTTTAATTAATTGCGCTGTCTGAACACCCGCAATGGCAGGACACTTTTTCCTCCCAGGCAAAAACAAAGACAAAAAACCCCACTACACCTCCCTCCGAAACCTCAGCTAAATCTCTTAATGGAATAAAAGGGGGAAGGAAGGAAAGATTTATGGATCAGCTCCTTCTTGGCATGCCAGGCTTTGCTCGGAGGCAGAAATGTGATCTTTGCTGAAAACACCGTGTGGTGCAGAAAGGTAAATAAGAGGAGAAAATGAATGAACTTGAGACAGGAGGACTGTAAATCTGCTGGCTGGGGAACATCAAAACAGTGGGGGAAACTGAAGAGAGCTCCGTCTGCTTCTGGCTTGGCCTATGGCAGTGCTGGAGAGCAAAGGCCTGCAGAACTGACTGCCACTGACCATTCAGAACACACCCTGCTGCTGCCACCTTTGGCGCATGCGCATTCCTGGGCCCCCAACTAGTCCAAGGAAGGAACTGATAAAGGAAAGGGTTTGTGGGGAGAAAATACATTTTGATTAAGGATAGGGAAGCTTGTGCAGGGCCACATAGCCTTCAGGGTAATGTTATGGGGGCCACAGGCGAAAGTGGGTAGGGCAACAAATGCATTGATTACCTTGGTACAGTAGCCTAGTTTCTGCACGTGCACCTCCACGCACAACCATCTCCATCCACAGCTCAAGAAGACATTCCAGCCAGGGGAAAACACTCAAGAAAGGGATAGAATCATAGCATCTTAGAGTTGGAAGGGACATGAGGGTCATCTAGTCCAACCCCCTGTATTGCAGGAATCTTTTTGCCCAGTCTTTTTTCCTATCTCAGCGAAAGCATCCATGGCAGATGGCCATCCAGCCTCTGCTTAAAAACCTCCAAGGAAGGAGAGGAGTCCACCTCCTGAGGGAGTCCGTTTCACTGTCAAAGGGCTTTACTGTCAGAAAGTTTTTCTGAATGTTCAGTCACAGTCTCCTTTCTTGTAACTTGAAGCCATTCGTTCTACCCTCCAGAGCAGGAGAAAACAAGCTTGCTCCCTTCTCCACGTGACAGCCCTTAAGGCAAGGGGTGGGCAACCTAAGGCCTGTGGCCCAGACGCGGCCCATTCGCCTTCTCAATCTGGCCCGCAGACGGTTCAGGAATCAGCGTGTTTTTCCATGAGTAGAATGTGTCCTTTTATTTAAAATGCATCTCTGGGTTATTTGTGGTGCATAGGAATCCGTTCATTTTTGTTTTCAAAATACAGTCATACCTCATGTTATGTTTGCTTCATGTTACGTTCTTTTAGGTTACGTCATGCGACGACCCGGAAGTACCGGAAAGGGTTACTTCTGGGTTTTGCCGCTCGCACATGCGCAGAAGCACAAAATGACGTCATGCGCAGAGGCGGCGAATCACAACCAGGGCGTGTACAGACGCACCACTGCAGGTTGCGCTCTTTTCATGTTGCGAACAGGTCTCTGGAACGGATTCCGTTCGCAACCAGAGGTACCACTGTGTAGTGCAGCCCACCACATGGTCTGAGGGAGGGTGGACTGGCCCCCGGCTGAAAAAGGTTGCTGACCCCTGCCTTAAGGTATTTGAAGATGGCTATCATATCTCCTCTCAGTCCCCTCTTTTCCAGGGTAAACATACTCAGCTCCTTCAACCGTCCGTTTGTGACACACTGAGCCTGTGGACAAGCTGAAGAAATGGGGCCCAGGCTTGCCCCAGAAGATGGCTTTGCACCCATCCTTGGAAGAGAAACTGCAAATCAGAGGAGAGGGCAGAAACTACCATATTTTTTGCTCTATAGGACGCACCCGATCATAGGACGCACCTCGTTTTAGAGGGGGAGAACAAGAAAAAAAAATCTCCCCCTCTCTGCGCAGCGCCCCTTCAGCGAAGCGGCAGGAGAAACGGAGCCCCTTCCATTTCTCCTCCTGCTTAGCTGAAGGGGCGCTGCGCCTTAGCTGAAGGGGCACCTACCCTTCAGCGAAAGGAACCCGAAGCCTCCGGAGCGCGGCGGGAGCTCCCACCATGCTCCAGAGGCTTCAGGCAGCTATCTTTGAAGCCTGGAGAGTGAGAGGGGTCAGTGCGCACTGACCCTTCTTGCTCTCCAGGCTTCAGTGAAGGCAACCCAAAGCCTCCAGAGCGCAGCAGGAGCTCCCGCCACGCTCCGGAGGCTTCAGGCGGCTATCTGGAGAGTCTTATGGAGCGAATGCAGGTATCTTGGCTTCAGTGAAGGCAACCCGAAGCCTCCGGAGCACGGCGGGAGCGCTCCCACTGCGCTTCGGAGGCTTCGCGTTGCTATCGCTGAAGCCAAGGAGCCTGCATTCGCTCCATAAGACGCACACACATTTCCCCTTAATTTTTGGAGGGGGAAATGTGCTTCTTATAGAGCGAAAAATACGGTGTTTTGGGTCACTCCTTTGTGCTTCCAGCCTGCTGACGGCACGACTTTAAATTGCTCAGCTAAGCTGTCCGAATTATCATAATTTCACTTGACAATTATATTGATCAAGTGCTAACAATTAAGGGTGGGAGGAGCCAGTTCTGAGTTCATCCCCCCCCTCCAGGGTGCATTTTCAGCTTCTAGATATGGAACTGAACTTCTGGTCACTGTGGCTTCTAAGTCAGCTATCCAAGGGAAGAACTGCATGGCAAAAGTTGCCCTGTACTTCTGGGCTACAAATTGTCACCCAGATCTGCTCTTAGATCTGTTCAGTGTGAAGAATGCTTTCTCTTCATTGACAGAAAACCTCCACTGGTATCGGTGAGGAGCTCCTCCTCCTCCTAACTGCACCGTCAGAACTGTAACTAAGAACTTATTAATTTTATTTACTTCACAAAATTTATAAGCTGCTTAACCATTAAAAAAAAGGCCAAATGAACCTGAAAGCTATTTACAAAAAAAGATAAAACAATAAAGCTATCACTAAGAAAAATTAACAATCATAATGTAAAGCCTTTGAAAAATTAAAATAACAATAGACCAAAAATAATAAAAAACAGATTAAAACTTTCATCAACTTTCTAAATGTCTGGGTAGACTTGTCTAAACAAAGATGTTTTCAGGAAGTGCCAAAATGAGTAGTACAGCCTGAGATTGAGCTTGCTTTGTCTTCCTTTTCCCCTGCGTGTCTTTTTGGGTTGCAAGTCTTTTGTAAGCAGCTTGGAGAGCCTTTTTGGCTAAAGGGTGAAATAGAATTGCCCTCTATGTTCCCTGTTCTTCAAATTCCATGATTCTCATTAATCTAAAACTTTCCCCCTCTGTTTGGTTCCTCTGCGATGAGTGGTATCGGAGCCCTCTCTTATTAGCCACCTCTCAACGCGGCAGTATAATTCAGACATAATCACCGTAATTAATAAATTTGACTGAATTCAAAGCTCCCATGCCTGAAGGCCCTGGGAAGTTTTAGTAAAAACTAATCAGGGGGATAATTAACACTTTACGATGATGACAGTTCTCCGCACTGCTGTTTACAACTTCAAGATAAATGCCCTGACAGTAACTAATTAGCTCCAAAAATATGTGACGACCTGCAAGCTTTGGAAATGCAAAAGGGTTTAATAAAGGCAACCCTGGAGACCTGCCCATAATCCTTTATGCAAAAGCAATTTATAACCCCGGTTTAACAAGTCCCCATCCAAACTCCACCCACAGCATGTAGGGTTCATGCATCAGCCCTGGTCAGGGGCTCATCCTGCACAGGCCCAAAGGCTCAGTGCAGCCCTCCAGGACTGCATCCTTGTTGCAATGCTCAGCTGACTTAATGTGCCTCCACCATTAGACCCTCACCAGCTTTGGTGACAAGCAAACTGGAACCATCAACGGCAAAGGCAGGCAGGTTGGTATCTGGATTCAATTTTGAGATGTGAAATAGGAACCCAGGAAGCCTCGTTATCACACAGTCACACCATCCTCCCATCTAACTCAGTACTGTCTACTCAGACCGGCAGCAGCTCTCCATGGTTGTGGGGTAAGAGTCTAACAGCCCTATGCAGAGATGCTGGGCATTGAATCTGGTACCTCCTGCACAACAGCGGATGTTCTGTCGATGGGCTTCTCAGCAGCAACTCCACAAACTATCCAGGAAAAAGGAGGCACCGGCTACGAGTTCAAATTCTACGCACACTTAATGAATTTCCAAGTAAACATGTGTGAGATCAGACTCTCCAACCCATCTCTGCATTCCAAGAGGCGCTTTATTAACGCTCTGTGTTTGTGTGAACGCACACCTAAATATAAATCAATCAATCAGTCGCTGGCTTCCTGCTCTGTTAATTATCGCAACATCCATAAGCAAACATGAATTCCGGGCGGCTGACTCAGAGCTTACACAAAGGGCGCTTCAGGTTTCACAAGCCCACCCTTGTGGCCGGTGCCAAGAAAACGTTCGCTGCAAATGCCACTGCCTTTTTCCTGCTCCCAACGTGTAAAAAACATTTGATGAGTGACACAGAAGGATGGAAAGTGAAATTAATTGTTTGCAAACCAAGAACTGCTGTCCCTCTGAGATCGCTGACTTTCAGGAAATGCATTTGTCTTACAAGGAGATACACTTTCTCAGAGAAGTGCCATGCAGGAAGCAAGCATGGATTGGGAGAGGGGGGAGAAGACTGATTCAGTTCACAGCCGAAGGCAAACCTGCTCAATTCACACTTTAAAAAAGTGGATTGAAACAATTCAAACTTCTCTGAATTTTGCAATGCAGTTCTCCAGCAAAGCAGGGTGTGCAAAATTGCACAGACTGGGACAAGGCTTCTCAATGCCTGTATTAGTGACAATAACAAGCAAAACACATTGCATTGGGGAAAACGCTTTGCAAAATTGTGTATATTAGACAACAATTGCATACAAAAATGTCAGGGATTGAACCTGGGACCTTCTGCATGCAAAGCAGATGTTCTACCACTGAGGTACCTCCCTGAAGTACTATAAAAGAAAGAAAATGGGGTATGAGGGGAGAACTAAAAACCAACTGTTAAATATAGTGGCCATGTGTCCTACTTTACAGAGGACAGTTCTCTGCTTGAAGGACTGCCCAGTCCAGGTCCAGTTTAAAGACTAATAATAATAATTTATTATTTATACCCCGCCCATCTGGCAGGGTTTCCCCATCCACTTTGGGTGGCTTCCAACAAAATATTAAAATACAGTGGTCTGTTAAACATTAAAAGCATCCCTAAACAGGGCTGCCTTCAGATGTCTTCTAAAAGTCTGGTAGTTGTTCTTCTCTTTGACATCCGGTGGGAGGGTGTTCCACAGGGCGGGTGCCACTACCGAAAAGGCCCTCTGCCTGGTTCCCTGTAACTTGACTTCTCGCAGTGAGGGAACCGCTAGAAGGGCCTCAGCGCTGGACCTCAGTGCAGAACTATGGGGGTAGAGATGCTCCTTCAGGTATACTGGACCGAGGCCGTTTAAGGCTTTAAAGGTCAGCACCAACACTTTGGATTGTGCTTGGAAACGTACTGGGAGCCAGTGTAGATCTTTCAAGACCAGTGTTATGTGGTCTCGGCGGCCGCTCCCAGTCACCAGTCTAGCTGCTACATCTTAAAAGAACATAAGCAGGAAAGCAGTTTACTATCCAACCCCTCCTCCCAGGGAACTCTGGACATTGTAACTCTGCAAGTTGGAATAAGGAGGTCTTCCGACAACTCTCAGCACCTTTGACAAACTAGGGTTCCCAGGATTCTTTGGTGAAGCCATGGCCCAGTCCTGGGATGGCTCATTTGGTAGAGCATGAGACTCTTACTCTCAGAGTCATGGGTCTGAGCCCCATATGGGGCAGAAGATTCCTGCATTGCAGGGATTTGGACTAGAAGACCCTCACAGACCCTTCCAACTCTGCAATACTATTATACTGCTTTAGCTGTATAGTGAAGATGGCAGCATTAAGAGAATTCATAGCAAATAACACTTTCCCCCAGTCATGTTCCTTTCTCTTACGTTCTATTAAAAAAAATTTTTTAGGAATCTAGAATTAGAAAGCATTCAGACACAAGCTTTCTAAGCATAGTAAGGAAACTCTGCGTAGAATTCCAGATTTGTTGGGACATTAACCAGCTCATCCATGAGAGCCACGGCTAGAAGCCTCGAAAAGTCAGCCATTAAATTAGTTCACTTAGGAAGTTCAGGAGCCTAAAAATGCTACCCTACTCACTGCAAGGTTGCCATCAAAATGTCAGCCCGTATTCCCACTCCCATTTAATTCAGATTCACCCTTTCCGGGGCAAACCCACTAAGTAAAAAGATCTTGTTGCCCATGATCTGCTGGTGATATCTCCACAGCCCAATGCAAAGTGATTCCCCTCCTCAAAGCACCCTTGAACGTCCTGAGCTGTGTTATTTTAATTCTTTGATCTCAGACCTGCCACAATAGGAAGAAGACCCTTCTCTTCCCTCCGCACCCAGCTCTGGGGGACAAAAATAAACCCAGTGGCCCGTTTTGCAGGACAGCTGCACAAACAATGCAATTTAGAAGGATGCATAATGACACATGATGGAATTTTGGCCGGCCGGCCAAACCTTTGTTTTTGTCAATTAGCTCAGTCAAATCTCTCACGGCTGGGTAATGAGGAGGGAACGGTACACACACCACCCCAATAAAATAAAAAGCATTGCTAACTGCTGAGCTTGCCAAGGCAGACGGGACAGGGACCCGGAGATGGCATCAAAGGGGCACACACCCTGCTCCTAACTAAGCCACAAGTTGAAGAGATTGACCTCCTGCCAAACTGTTTGCCTCTCGCTTCGGCACTTATCCTACCGCTCCTCTCGCAGTGGGACTTAAATTAGAGTCAATAATTTTTGGCTTGATTAACCAGTTGACTTTTAGCTTGATTCATCTGTAGCTTAAGGTAGGGGTGCAGGAACCTCAGGCCAATATGACAATGCAGCCCTCTAAGCCCCTAAATCTGGCCCCCAGTACTCTCCCCAGACCATACCCCCTCGCTGGTTTAGCTTCACACCCCAACCAGTTTTGCCGAGACAGGATACGTCCTTGAACTCTGATCGCGACTCTTGTTTCCTGGAATGAAGGGTCGGGAAGGGGGTGTGAGTGAGTTTAGAACCTAGCCTGCTGTACAAAGGTAAAATCTGCATGTGTTGCTCCTCCCACTTTTGCCTCTGGACCCACACATTGCTGGCAAATGGCCCTCGGAAGGTTGCCCAGGAGGGAATCGGCCCTTGAGAAGATTCCTTGACCTACCTAGCTTTTGAAGACATTCCCATGATCTCTTGACCTGAGTCTCTTGTTTTAATTACTGTACTGCTTTAACAGGGCTGTTTTGTTACTACAGCATTTTAATTGTGTGTGTGTGTAATAATCTTATTTATTGATTTTCACAATAAAAACTTTACAAATTTTAACGTAGACCGTAAATTATTTTATCGACTTCCCACCCTCCCCTTCCATGGTTTCCATATTTACCTTTGAATGCTGCATATTTCTCTATTCAATACATCCATTTAAACCCATTTATCTTGATAATTAACGCTGTGGCTCATATTTCAAGTCTTGCCGCTGTTTTCATCTTGCTACAGTATTTCTTTAAATATTCAATAAAAGGCCTCCAGTCCTCAAAGAATCTTTTAGTCGTTTTGGTCTCTAATATTTGCTGTTTATCTTGCCAGTTCAGCATCATTTTCAAAAGCCATTCTTCCTTTGTTGGAACCTCACCTTTTTTCCATGGATGTTTATATTTTATTCTTTGCGCCATTCGTTTTTTTATGACTGTAACCCACTTAGAAGCCTATCCTAGCATGAAGAGGACTATAAACCGAATAATAGAAACTTATAATAAATAAATAAGAATCCTGGCTAGGGAGGGTGTTCTGGGTTAACAGGGGTGGGCGTTGGATGTTTGGATCTCCCCAGTCAGGCACCAGACTGGTTTCAGAATGGCCCAGTGCATAGCTGACAATTTCTGGCTCTTCCACCTGCTAAAATAATATAAAGTCCTCAAGAGATCTAGGGCACGACGTGACTCAGTCGCAGAGGCAGCTGCCTTGAATCCCTTTCTGACTGGAGGAAGATTCAGAAATGCCAGCCAGCAAGCCCTAGAGAAGGTGTTATTCCAGGAAATATATTCCTCCTTCCTGTATCAGGAGTCAGTGCTCTGCTTTCATTTCAGGTTTGGCTGGACACTTCCCATGCACACCTCCCTAGTTTATTTATTTATTTATTGAGTTTGTATATCCAGAGATAAGGGTGGAGATCAGGCCCAATCAGGTCAGGGGTAGTGGAGCACAGTGGTTCAAGCAATGCTTTAAATCTCTGTACAGTGGTACCTCAGGTTAAGTACTTATTTCATTCTGGAGGTCTGTTCTTAACCTGAAACTGTTCTTAACCTGAAGCACCACTTTAGCTAATGGGGCCTCCTGCTGCCGCTGCGCTGCCGGAGCACAATTTCTGTTCTCATCCTGAAGCAAAGTTCTTAACCCGAGGTACTACTTGTGGGTTAGTGGAGTCTGTAACCTGAAGCGTATGTAACCTGAAGCGTGTGTAACCTGAGGTACCACTGTACTTATGCCGCTTGCCAGCTAAAGTATTGTTGGTAGGCATTGGTGTTGGCCGTTAAAACTCTACGTCCTGGTGAGATGAGCATCCCAGGCGCTGGAAGTCAAGACATCTCATGGGCCTTGCTCCAAGAGTCATCATTTCCAGGAACTAAGTGGCCCTCGCCCTGATGCCGGGCTTTAACTGTAATAAGCCCAGTGCTCTCCTATGCTTTCTCACCAGAGGCCCACTTGGTTCTTATCTATTGCTACCTGTTAGAAGTCTATCTTGGCCTTAGCTGAACTGCATTAATAATTGAATCCAATGGCACTTACTTCTGAGTAGGCATGGCTATGACAGCTCCTCCAAGTGTCCCTATTTTCCAGGGACAGTCCCAGATTTACAGAAGCTGTCCTGGTTTGATTTCATCCCAGAACATCCTGCTGTTCCTTAGGAGAAATGTTGGAGGGTATGGAGTTATGCGACCCATCCAAACCAAGCAGATAAATAAATATACAACCTTTAGATGACATCAAAAGGCAGCCCTGTATAGGGAAGGTTTTTTTAATGTTTAATGTTTTATTATGGTTTTATATATGTTGGAAGCCACCCAGCGTGACTGGGGCAATCCAGTTATATGGGCAAGTATAAATAATTATAATTATAATGGAACAGGAAGTCCCTATTTTCAATGGAGAAATGTTGGAGAGTATGCCATGATGGCAGCCAACTGAATAACTGATATAGGCCTACAGCCTTCAACATGGCTCAGAGTCATTCCCAGTGAGCTCAGTGGGGTTTACTTGTAAGTAGGCATGCACAGAATCACACTGTAATAAGCTGGCTGACAATCCTAATGATTATATCTTATGAACTGCCAGGTAGGCAAGGCATCCTTGATCCAAAAGATATGATAGAAGTGGGGTAGGTAAATCATCACCAAGGCATTTGTTGCAATACAGGAGAGGCAGTTCCACCCACTGTGGTGCAGTGGTTAGGGAGTCAGACTAGGACCTGGGAGAGACCAAGGTTCAAATCTCCCACTGGGCCATAAAACAGCTCACTGAGTGGTAGGGGGACAGTCCCTGCCTCTCAGCCTAACCCACCTCTCAGGGTTGTCATGGGGATTAAAAGAGACGTGGGAAGACCCGCGTAAGCCAACTTGAGCTCCTTGCAGGAAAAGACGGGCTAGCAATGCAAAAAAGTAAATAAATAATTAGTAAATTTCTTCTGAGCCAGAGAAATGGAAGAACTTGGCTCAAAGACATGCAGCTAAGGCAAGGGAGAGCTGACATGGAAGCCTGGCATTTTCACGGGGTCTAGATCCATTTTAAATGATTTGTGGATCAGGGTGACTAAAGTTCCTTGTTTAGCAAGCTGCCCCCTGTGTACAAAACGAAGGCGGCAGTGCTTCCTGCACATGGGCGTCACAAGAGATTGGCCTGAGGATAGCCCAGCTGCCACCCTTTAAATAAATTTTAAAACCATTTCTCTGAGGCTGCCATGTGTCCAGATTTTCCTGGACATTACCAGGATTTCAAAGGAGGAATTGATGTCCAGGGGGGACGGGACCAGGCAGTCTTCCTAAAAGAAAGCTCAACGTTTCGGGTGTCTTGGTTTTTACTTTCTGAAATATGGCAACCCTAATTTCTCAGATGCAAGGCAATAATGAACAAGAAGGCCTTGTTATCCTGTAGGCTGCTAGTCCCCATTCATTGACTGCATGGATTCCTTGCTCATTCTTAGTTGCGGTGATGAATCTGCTCCATGTACCACTTAACATCGGCTGAAGCAATGGAGGACCCAGCCACCCCTCAGTATTTCGTAGGCCTTCCCTGGGAGCATCTTCAGTGAGGGCAACTGCATAACGTCATTATATATTACTTATTAAATGTGAATACTGCCCTTTAGCCACATATCTCAGGGCAGTTTGCAACATAAACATACAATATAGAAGGAATTCATCTAATTCATGTTTATAAATATCATATTAGATTAAGGTCTGCTTAATGACAATAACAAGTCTTTTGTAATGCGCCCAGTTTTTTTCTGATTTGTTTTCTACATGAGTAGTATTTCTTGTTTCTTCATCTTTTTTGTGTCTTATCTTACCCTGTGCACTTGTAATTTTGAACTTTTTTATTTTTCAATAAAGGTTATAAAATAGAAAAAGAAACCATGCAATATACGTAGAAGCAATATAATATACACTGCTTTGACCAAGTATAGGTTTGTTTGTTTTTTCCTTTTTGGAAACACTTGCCCTCCCAGCTGTGTTTATTCTTCCCAGGGTGTGCCCTACCATTAGGCAGGGTGAGGCAACTGCCTCAGATGGCAGGTGTTGTGTTGGGCGACAGCAGCGAGGGGTTGAAGGGCAGGGCTGTGGGATACCTGTCCTGCCCTGTGGCTCTAACTCGCCTGCTGCCCTCAGGTGTGGTGGAGAATGCTGTCCTGCCGCCAGTGCTGAAGCAAGAGTCAACAGCCAACTAGACCAATTGGCTCCAGTGCATGGAACAAGGGGTGTGTGTTTGTGTGTTTGTATGTGTGTGGAGCGGTGGGGTGATTGCCTACCTCAAGCAACAATGTGATCTTGGGTTTTTAATGCTCATGAAAGCAGACATCCTTAAAGCACTGTGATATGTGTGTGGGGAAGGGGACTGAGAAGCACAGCGGCAAGCCCTGCCTCTGAAACCCATGCATTAGATTCCTCTTTCTGCACATAGACATGGGCTTTTCTGAGAGAATGCAATGGAAGTCAAGCATCCATGTTGCAAGGAGCATCAATGTAGCATGCAAAGGAACATCAGTGCCTGCTGGAGATGTTCCCATTTCAGCAAGCCTTCTCAATGGAGATCTTTGTCCTGGGTGCTTTATACTGTTTTTGTATTAGTAGTAGTTGTAATAGTAGTAGTAGTAGTAGCAGTAATAGTAATAGTAGTAGTAGAATTGCCTTTACATATGCAATTGCACTAACTTTTTATATATGCAATTGTTTTATATTTGTTTTTATTGTATTGAAAACCACTTTGGAATGCCTCATCAAAAGTGATTCATAGATAACACTGGTCAACAACAAATTTGTTGTCTGCGTTTTTTCAGTTGATTTAGGACGAATCTGATGCGCTGAATCCAAAAATCACTTTGGTTTTGCTCAATCAGGTCAAGTTTTTGAGCTATGGCCACATGTCATTTTTTTACGTTTTTGTTCACATGTACGCTTGTGTGGAGCATTTTAGAAGAAGTTGGTGGGGTAAAATGCCATGTCGAATAATTGTTTTGATTGGAAATGATTATTTTAATGACAAGAAGTATTCAGGTCCGATAGTTCTGGGTGATTATGTCGAAAAGGGATCAGTTTGAAGTCATAAAACCTCGAAATCTTCCATAAATTGGTGTGGCAAAGCATAAAGTTGGGGGATCAAAACTAAGTTAATGGGGCAGCCGACCCACGAAGTATCCTGATCTTCAATCAGCATGTCATCCTGTAGCTCATTCTGATGAAATTCCAGTGCCTATCTTCGGAGAACTTCCTGACATTAGTGACGAAGATGCCTCCAGTGTTGAAGGACATGAAGAAGAAGAAGTGGTTCTTGAAGATGATGCTCCACATCCATTTTCCCAAAAGGAGTTGAATGATCTAGTTCACAACCTCAGCTTGTCAAAGGACTCTGCCGAACTGTTGGCATCCAGATTGAAGGAAAAAAACCTCCTCTCTGACAGTGCTCGCATCAGCTTCTTCCGCAACAGGCATCAAGAGTACCTCCGTTTTTTGTCGGAAGAGAAGGACTTGGTGTACTGTGCAGATATTGCACAGCTTCTGCTCAAGCTTGGAGTGCCACAGTACGAACCCAAAGATTGGAGACTGTTCATTGACAGCAGCAAGCAATCACTGAAATGTGTTCTGCTACACAACGGCAACCAGTTTGCCTCTATACCCCTGGCTCACTCGAGTACATTGAAGGAGAACTATGAAGCGGTGAAGTATGTGCTGGAGAAAATTGGTTATGATCAGCATAAGTGGTTTATTTGTGTTGACCTGAAGATGGTGAACTTTTTGTTGGGACAACAGTCTGGCTTCACCAAGTACCCATGTTTTCTGTGCATGTGAGATAGTAGGGACCGTGCTCAGCATTACACGAAGAAGGACTGGCCTGTGTGGGAGGAATTGGTGCCTTGCAAAAAAAGGAACGTCATCAACGACCCTCTGGTGGACAAAGACAGAATACTCTTCCCACCGCTGCACATCAAGCTCGGCTTAATCAAGCAGTTCACCAAGGCTCTGGACAAGGATGGTGACTGCTTCACTTACTTGTGCCAGGCTCTTCCAGGATTGACCATGGAGAAGTTGAAAGCTGGCACCTTTGACGGTCCTCAGATCTGTCAGCTCATCAGAGATCCAGAGTTCGGAAACTCAGTGAACGAAGTGGAACTGGAAGCGTGGAAGACATTTGTTCTGGTAGTGAAGAACCTTCTTGGCAACAATAAGGCCAGAAACTACGCAGAACTTGACAACAACATACTGACTGCTTTCAGAAACCTGGGCTGCAACATGAGCATCAAGATGCACTACCTATTTTCACATATGGACCGGTTTCCTGAGAACCTGGGTTCAATGAGTGACGAGCAGGGGGAGAGATTCCATCAGGACATGAAAGAGATGGAGACCAGGTATCAGGGTCGCTGGGACGCAGTCATGATGGCTGACTACTGTTGGACTCTGAAGAGAGACCTCCCTGCCGCTGAGCATTCCAGGAGTTCCAAGAAACAGAAGTTCAAGCCCTGAAGTTTGAAAAATGGTGAAGCAACATGCAATTTACGTGTAATTACCTTTATCAATGCCCACCATTCAGTTTACATTAAACCTGACCTGATGGAGAGAAACGGATGCCATTTCCTGATTCAGCAGTGCAAAAATACCCTAAATCAGTTGTAGAAATCTAGACAACATTCAAAAAGTAAAAAATTGTTGCCCAGTGTAATAATAAATAATAATAATAATAGTGATGGTGCATGACTTGCAACTGTAATTCCAGCTGTGTCTTCGTGAATGTGTTGCTGTGTCCTAAGAATGTCTGAAACTGAACAGAGCTCTCATGACCACAAAGAGGCAGGAGTTGTTTTTTTTTGGGGGGGGGGGATCTAGTATTTTGAGTTTTCCAAAGTCTTGTTCCCCATTCTGTGCTTTTGAAACGAGTGAACAGACTGGTGCTCCTTCCCGCCTGCCTCCACATATTGATTTACGTACTTTACGGGTGCTTGAACAAAAGAGTTCGCAGTTGCTTCAGCCCCTGTGCAGATCCTCTTCAGCTAAATAATTTAATCAGGAGCTAAACAGCTTGTAGAGACAACGGCATGTCATTTCCAGGACTGCCCCGATGAGTTACTGAAATAGAAATGGTTTCTACACCGATCCATTACATCATCCTATGTGCACATGTCAAATGCTTTCATTAATCATAAGCACAACCTTCTTTATTACAGGTTTTCAAACAGAGGATTTGGAGGCACTTATAACACAGAGGCCCTTTTCTTAATCCCCCCACACACCTCCTTGTCTCTCCTATTGCTCCAAGGATGCAATAGGTACAGCAAAACGGGTTTTTCCTAATTCTTGGTCAATTTCACAAGTTCAAAAGTTTTACATGAAATGAGCCATCGCTTAGTAAGTATTGGAGGGGGGAGGGGGGAATTAAGGCACTAGAGGAACAGAAACATAATTACTTGTACATCTATTAATACTGCAATTTTTATATCTGACTGTTGAGGGCAGTCGGTGTTCTTTTTCCACATTTGGTAACAATATTGCTTGACTGTTGGCATGTAGTGGTAATTAGTATTTGGGAGCTGGCAAGATGCGCTAATTGCTATTTGATGCTTTTGATACCTGACGTTCAGCATTTAATGAAACGTCGGCATCAGGTTATGCTGGCACTCAGAAAGCACCTGAAATTCAGGCTTTGGGCAGTAACAATTTCACGATGGAAAGTTTTCACTATGCATGCAAAACAGGTGCTCTACCACTGAGTGATGACCCTTCCTGATGACCCTTCCCCGATACAAATTATGAACATTCTTACTGTGGACTTCACATGCCTCCTACATACAGCTCCTGCACTTCAGATGAAGACCCTATAAAGATGAATTCAAAACAAACGCATGTCATACCAAGCTAAGAACGGGTCACCGTAGACATGCAATTGCTCTCACACACTGATTCCTCTAGACTGTCCAACCACACAGCCCATATCCAGACTCTGCCACATGATGCAAAAACTGGTTACTCTTCTCCAGATGCTACATGGGATCTTGGCAGTTTAAACACTTTGTCATGATTTTAAGGAAAATCCATAGACAACATAGCCATCCATGTACTGAGTTGTGGAACATTTCAAGAGAGTTTAGAAGGTTCGTTAACCAAACACCCTTCCTCAAAGATTTCTTCCACAGTATTCTGAGGATAACTTGCAGTGCTGGCATGCCCAGGATGTAACCACAGTTCGTTTCTATAGATATTGTACAGCCTCCCCTTTAATAATCTAAAACACCAATAAAACTTTGAAGGAGAATATCAGCAAAAAATGAAGCCTAAGATTACTGAGCATCCACCTTGATTTGCTTGCACAAAGCTTTCATGGAGATGAGATTGTATCCGGTCTTCGCCGTGCGTGTATTCTGATTTATTTGCAGGATATACAACAAAATGCATCCATCCCTAGTTGCTTGCGGGATGTTTAGACGTCTTCCCAGTAACCATCCCTTCATTCCACACTTTCCCTGTCACTTCCCAAACCACAAACGTGCATTTCTTTTTAAAAAGTGGATTTGTTGCTGAAGGGTGGCAAAGTGTTTTGATCCATGTTAACTGCACAAACCTAAATTTCCTGTATGCCCTTGAATCTCTTCATCAAAATACTGAGGGTCTGCAGGTACCCTTATTTGAAAGCTGTTTTTTTTTTACAGCTTTCAAATGGCCACATTAATCACAACACACACACACAGAGGGAGGGAGGGAGGGAGGGAGGGAGGGAGACTGAATCCTAACTTGGGTGATGTTAACTTCTAGACATGCACCCAATAATCCCATCCCAACCATGTTATTTTTAATAAGGTGTGCGCCTTATTAAATTGGGATACACCTGCAAATTCTGTCCCAACTGGTTATATGTCCTTGGAAGATTAAAGGGAACGTCTTTCATGGACCCTTCTCTTGAACCAGCAGCTTTCATGCCCCAAGTGGTACAGTAGCACTCTGAACAAAAGGGAGTCAAGAGTACAGTACAGATTTTTGTTAAGGCCTATAGGTATGATCCCCACTGAACACTCCCAAGTCCCACTGATTGCCATAGACAAGATAAATCTCTCACTGAATAAGTTCGCTTGCTGGGAGATTAGACAATGTTGACTACTTATTGAACATTCATTCTGACATGTTTAGATGATGTTGTGTCAAGCATGTATAAGCCCACACATTCAAGCACATTTTCCTTATCGCAAGATGTGCAATCTTTTGGGGAAGCAGGTTTGCTGCACAATCAGCCATCACCGAGTTTGCTGGCGTGTGATTCAATCCCACCCCAAAATAATGACCACCTGGGAGCACCCCTCACCAAATAAATGACAGGTAAGAAATGCTGGCAAATTTCAAGAGGAGGTGTTGAAGAAATAATCAACTACAAACTGATGCAGGCATGTGTCAAAGTGAACTCGAGAGTGGGAAAACGAGGAACAGAGAAAGTGAAATTAACAGATCTCGGCACCCCTGCATCACTCCTCACCTTTGCTAAAGAAGGAAGTCCAGGTGATCTATGTGGATTTCCAAGTAAACAAGCATAGGACAGGATTTGGTTGAAACTTCATTTAGGATCCGAGGGTGGGGAAATTATTTCTAATACTGCATGGGATGGAATCTTACAGCACCAAGTTATCAGCACCTTTTAAAATAGACTTTTCAATGACTCACTCATATGGTTTTTCTTTCACTACAATTGTTTTAGTGTTTTCTGAAAGGGAAGAACCTAGTCACACTTAACATCTGCTTGCGAGATTCCCTTACTCTGTATGAGCCCACTCAACAGCTTTGATCAGTGGAACTGGCAACGGTTACAGATGCCACTCAACACTCGCTCCATACCTGTAAGAAATCTTTTTTTTTTTTAGTGCAACAACTTTGGAACTCCCTGCCACTTGACATCAGGCAGACATCTTCACTACACTCTTTTTTGGTGTCCACTTTAAACATTTTTGTTTAGGCAAAGCCTATCCAGACATGTGTTTCAATCTGGTTTTTAGCTTATTGTTATTTTTCTGAACATTTTAAAGTGTTGTTTTTTACTGAAAACTTTATTGTTTTGTTATTTTTGTAAACCACCTGGAGGTCATATGACATTTAATTGAAATAAAATAAATCTGTGCTTGTTCCCCTGCCGCAGTATAAATAAGGAAATGGTTGCATGGCTCCCACACAATGCTTAATCATCCTAAACCGCAGCTGTATACATTTTTATCCTTCTCTTGGTTCCTTTGTGCTGAAAGCCCATAATCCTCATAACTGATGAGTCTTTTACCTTTGTGAAGAACAGTAAATAATAGGCAGGCATGTGCAAGATCAGATTAGCAACAAAACTGGAGAAGATTATAAGCCCTGATAAAAGGTGGAGGAGGAAGACGGGACAATTGCAGGGAGGGGACGAGATGCAAAACACCCATTCAGGCAACTTCGGGGAGTTATCTATTCAGGGTCACTGCACTGAGACTGGTGCATACTTATTAAGGTGCTAAATTTAGCACCAGAAAACCAGGAACAGGAGTGGAAAATAGGACAGGGTGTACAACAGAGAGCTGAGCTGCAGAAGCCGCTCCGTTGCATTTGTCAGAGGAGACGGCGAGAAAAACCGAGCAGTTCCGTCAGGTTTTAGAAACAGAATATCAGTCCCAGTCCATGCCTGGATGGCAAGACTTTTGGCTTTAAGGATCATGGTGTCTTGGAGGACTGCTGTGGCCCTCCTGTTGCAAAGCAGAAATTTCTTCATGTGCTCCTCTGCCTGGGGTCACAACCACGCCACATGCTCAGAGCACATTTAAAACTTCCCCTAAAGAATCCAAGAAATGGAATTCACTAAGGGTGACAGGAATTCCCTATGTGGGGGAGGAAAACTATAGATATTATATTATTATTATTACCCCACCTTTCCCAGAGACTGGGACTCAAGGTGGCTTACAAAAATACAAAAAGATTAAGAAATGCAAAAGGTAATAATTTAAAAATAATTTAATAGAATTAAAACCGCATGAAAAGAAATCTATTAAAATTCAGGTCATGAAAAAGCACAGAACTATAAAAAAAAAAAAAACCCACCTATTGTTTCCCAAAGGCCTGATGGAATGAGAGTCTTCACCTGCCGACAGAAGGAGGGAGCCAGCCTAGCTTCTCTAGGGAGGAAGTTCCAAAACCTGGGAGCAGCTACTGAGGAGATCCAGAATTCTTTGAGGAAAGCTATGTCAATTTAAATGTGCATTAAATGTATGGCATGCATAGGACCAGCATCTTATTTTGCAGGTGAACAGCAACTTAGGGTGGAAAGGCAAATGACGCAGGGTTGTTAAGGAAAATGGCGGCCTCATGTCTCCTTTGGCTTCTCTCCCCTTAATGCCTGGGTATAATAATGCATATGGTATGCAATCATCCCACTGGGAACTTCTTCTTCCCATATGTTGGGTGAGGGAGAAGCAGCATGATGGCATCACATCCTATGCTGAGTCTCCCCTCTTTCATATGGACATCCAATAAGGTTTTCAAACAGAGGTTGGATGGCCATTTGTTGGGGATTCTTCGGCTGTGATTGCAGGGGGCTGGATTAGATTACCCTTTGGGTCCCTTCCTCTATGATCCTATGAATCCCCACACCTGAATATTCACCACAGCAGACATTGAAGTGGGTCAAAATATGCCTGAGAATTCTCATGGGTGCTCAGTTTCATCTGTTCCAATGACGTCAATATATTACATCTGCTTGAATGTAAGGTAGCCTTTCAGATGTCTAACCTGGATGGGGATAAGATGGAGATAGTAGCCAGGTCCTTCAACACACAATGGGGATCCGTGAATGTTATACAGCAGTATTCCAATTGTTAGATGCATATTTTGCAGAGTGATTTTATGGTACGGAACCTTTCAGAGTTTTGTCTGCATGACAATAAAGGTTTGGGATTGAACTGATATTATTACATCTGCCAAAGTTGCAATCCAGGGAAAGAGAAATCTGATTTGTCCTTCTGGCTGTTTGTTATCGGACACATGATGGAGCTCCGGGGGGCAAATGTCTCTGTAGTCGGCCACCCAATCCTGGCTGAATGCATGACTGACAGGATGAGACCTCGCTGGACTCAGGTGTAAATGAGCCTGATAAAAGGTATTAGCCACAACATTGTGTTTGCTTTATTTAACAGGATTAATACAGCTGTTACGCTTCAGATAATAATAAGCTCTAGGTGGAAGGGGATCTCATGCTCCTCCACACTCTGATACAAGCACACTGTATCCATTCCTCTCTCCCTCCTTTCCCACAGTTCCGCGCAGTCCCTCAGGAATGCCGTAACAGTATCCGTTCAATTAAAAGGGGAAAGGGGTCCGGCTAAATATTTCCCAGCAGAAACGGTTTCCACCCGGATTCTGAAGAGCGTCCCAGATCAAATTTAAAACCCAGCCAGATCTACCACGCCGGGACTCGGTTGACCTTGTCCACATGGAATCCCACATGGTGCTTGTGGGGTCATCCATATAGCAACTGGGTGGTTTTATAATGCACCATAAATCTGCTTCCTCTCTGCATTTGACCCAGAGGTGACAAGCCTGGATGAGGCTCAGAAAAAACCAGCACTCGTGCTGTTATTGTACAACTTAAGAACCTTTTCTAGGTTTCTGCATTCTCCCACCTCTCATAGATGCTGCTGCCTGATACACAGAGCATTAACCCTGTTGACTGCCCCTGGGCCTCTTTAAATTAGAGGCATAAAAAAGAGCCGTCTACCTGCAGGACTGAACCTGACCAACTTAGCAACTGATTCTATGGGGCGCTCACTTGGAAGCAAGGCCAAGCTGAATATACATAAGATTCCAGACTGATAGTCCATAAACCCAAAGAGGCATGACTTCTGCCAAATGCAGTAATTCCATGGAGATGCACCATATCATCCAGATCTAGGAAAGCATAGACATTTGCAGCCAACAGCAAGGTGGACAGTGGTAAGTCTGATGGTCCTGTTACTTAGATTCTGCAGACAGTCACAGCTCTGAGGCAACTGGTCATTTACACCAACAATTTGCTTGCTTGCTTATTCTGAGCTAGCACACACGGTGGCCAAGGGGGGCTCTAGAGCAGAGATGAGGAACGCGTGGTCCCCCAGATGTGACTGGTGTGCAGTTTCCATCATCACTGCTTATTGGCCATGATAGCTGGAGCTGCTGGAAGATGGAGTATGACAACATTCGGAATAGCTCTGGGGCTCCCTTTGGGCAACTTCGTTGTATTGCTTAATTCTGTTCACAAAACCAAAACAAATCATCTCATACTTCGGATATCCCTAATAACCATCCCACCAGTGTTCTTCTGATTTCAATACAAGATAAATGGCAACCAGTTGTTTTGAAAGATCTGTGTTGCCTGAGTTCTTCCTCTTCATAATTATAAGTTATGATTCGATACAATACCACAATGTCCCAGGCCTTCCTTAGCCAATAGTCAATAGACAGGGCCTTTGTGTTTCTCCAAGGTTTTGCAATCATGTTCTGATCACTTATTAAAATTTCTCTCTCTCCTCCTAACCTGTTGCTTCACATGTCATAGGAGCAGTCGTTTAGATCATTTGAACTCACACCCAGTCCTAAACCACAGGCAATCAGGGTTAATAAATTTGATTGATCTGAAGGGCATAAATCCATGGATTTTGCCCATCACAAGCTAGTGAACCTGGTGCCCTCCAGATGTTTTGGTCTAAAACAAATGAAAGCAGCCTTATACCAAGCCAGACCTTTGTTCCATCTAGCTCAATATTGTCTCTGCTGACTGGCAGTAGCTCTGCAGGATTTCAGACCAGGCTCCCTCCCAGTCCTACCTGGAGATGCTGCTGGGACCTTCTGCATGCAGACCACTGAGCTATGGCCCTTCCCTTCTCCAGATGCTAGAGCCATGACCACAAACGCCCACTTTACACCAGGTTGTGGCACATTTGGTACACATAAGGGCAAGACTTTGAGGGCAAGTGCCGAAGGCCCCATTCCACAAAATGAGCTAGATGACCCCCCATATTCAAGGCTGGCTGTCTGACCACATCTTGAAGGATACACATTATCATCTAAAGAGCCACCACTACCACACCATTGAATAGAATTACTGAACAGCATAAGTGATTACGCAAAGGATGTGTTGGAAACATTTGGACTCTTTGCACACAGGGTAAGAGAACGATGTTTACTCTCTGATGGTGAAGTTACTCCACTGCCGCTCCTACCACACGCCCTTGAAAGTCAGCCCCAATGGACACAATGGGACTTAGTGCTCAGGGTAAACCTGCCTAAGGTTGCTCTCTTGGGAGACGATGTCGCTGCTGTTGATCAAGGGCTGTGGAAAGAATTTATGCAAAACACACAAAAGTTTTCATCAGGCATCAGACCCATTTCAAGAAGTTCAAGATCAAACTCTCCCTCTTTTATTGTTGTCGTTCAATTTGAACCAGATACAGTACGTTGAAATTGCAATGTGCATTCCAATAAATACGAAAAACAAACAACAAACTCCCCACCTGTCTGCTAATAAAACTGAAGCATCGCCAGTCAATTTGTTCATTGGTGCAGTTTCTAAGGCTTTGATCAGCTATTCTATCGTGGCTGTAACTCTTGGAAATTTTCCCTGCCTAGGGAAAACAACTCTTGCCACTAATAAGAGATTCGAAAGCAGGCTTCAAAGAAAGGTTATTAGCATTACTAAGTGAAATGGCCATAGGATCCATCATGAGATTGACCCCTGAGGTCTGACCAATGACCTCTAGAGTTTGTTCCTAGTGTTTCTGAATCATATTACAATTTCACCAAAGATACACAGAATCTGTGTTGACATTTTTCTCATATAATTTGATAAGAATATGGTTGTTGTTGTTGTTGTTGTTTATAAAAACAACAACTCTCAGATTATTAGATTCAGTGGGATTACTTCAACCCAGACCCCCAAATCCAGTTCTTTTCTTTGATTTCTGACACTTTTGGAAATGCAAGAGACATCCTCTCATATTCTCCTATGCAGCCTAGGCTTGCTTTGGCATGTTTTGCTATTCCATGGGTCCAGAAACTTGGCTGCGTTTGTGTAAATCAAGGTCAAGACATCACAGTTTAAAATTAATGCTGAAATGCCTTCGCGTTCATACCAATCTCCTGTGCGAGATCCGAGTTGGAATTGAGAGAATTGGCCATCCAGGATCCCAGGGCTTTTAAGATTTCTACTCTTTCATAAAGGGGCTTGTGTTAGATTGCTCTGCTTCTTAGGCTTAAGTCTGCAGACATCTTATCTCATTCCAGTCTCAGTGGGACCGCCAAGAGGATTGAAGAAGACGTCTCTGACCCTCCCAACCAAGTGGCTCCGAGATGAAAAGGAGAGATGGTCGCCATGCCGGCCAACACAAATACTCGGAGATTTGACTCCCGATGTGAGAAAGGTCTGCCATGCTGCACAGCTGCAAAGATGAAGTGATTAATTATGAAGATTATTATTCCAAGCATTTTAGAAGCAGCCTTTGCTGTAATATCTGGGCAAACTTTACACGGTTTCAATTAAGGGCGGTCACGCCTGGGCAGAGTTACATGATGCCTTCTTCCTTCATCTTCTAGCTTTCAGAGACGGGAGGATATCTGAGTAAGCAGTTTAAACGCTGGAGCTGTGGAAATTATGCAGCTTTCTTTTTCTTCCCATTGTTCTTAAATGGGAATATAAATTTTTAATTAAATAAGTCTTGCACTGCGCTAATTTTTACACTGCCATTTGGACTCTTCTCCTGCTTACGAAAACACTGGGAGCAGTGACTCAGGCCAAGGTTTAAATCAGCAACTGAGCTCTGGTTACAAAAAGTCTTATTAACATCACCCATATCTATATATCAGCCTCATCTGCAGATCAGTTTTATCTCCGCTTTCCATGAACAGTGGTGCGAATCAAGCATCCACTGTAAAGTTTAGTCGTGGGAAGTTTCTAATTTGACATACTGTGGTTTAGAAAAATTGATACTGCCTTTGTGTGTGTGTGTGTGTGTGTGTGTGTGTCTAGAAATCTATCCGGAAAAGCTATATGGGTTCATTTCTATCTTCCGTAAAATCCACCTTTTAGCAAAATCTTAAATCACCTTCTCCCCAACTTTATTCTCCACTGCAACGGCGGTCTTCTCTTCCCCTGGTTTCCCCACCATTCTTGGCCATTTAATTGCAGCCCCCTTGCTGCAGAGACCTCTCTTTTGCTTATGCTGTGAAGTGCCAATTAGCATACACATTAGTGGCACAGTACTAAATAATAGCACTGCTACTAATCATAGTAGAGTTTTGGTTTTGGTTTTAACCAGCCTGGCAAAAAACAACCCAACAACCCAAATTCTTAACATTTTGCCAACACCAAGAATTATATACTATGGCATTCAAACAAATTGCAGGAAACAACCGAGGCTACTGGAACAATTTCTAGACTACTGATTCACTGCTTTTCAAACACGCAAAGATTTAGAATTCAGGTAAATAAGGCGTGTAAATGTTCGTAACAGAGTCATCTGTGAGCAGCCACTGAGTCACCAAAGTTTACTACATGCTCAGAAAACTACAGTGAGTAGCCCCCCACTGCTCCCCAAGGCAGGATGATCATAAAAAAGTTTCATGGTAGTCAACGCAACTAATTAAAAATATGAAAATGCATCTTTTCAAATTAAGTTCAACCCCAGGGGAAAGTGATAGCATTAAGCATGGATATAGTTTCCGTGGGTCTGGTTTCATACTGCTCCTGTAGAACGTTTGTGGGAAGGATAGTTTACACAGAGTTAAATCTAGTGGCGGAAATTATTCCCCTTTTTCTAATCTCCTCTGCACAGAATGATCTTTCACATGATACAGAATTGCTCATTTAAAAACGGTGCCTGAAGTCTAAGGATGCTTTCACAAGTTGATTTGGGATTTTTGCCTGGAAATGTAATTTCAGCAGCTTTTCTTTCTTTTCTTTTCTTTTTTAAAAAGGAATTTCATTTTTGCAATGATTCCCTTTCTCTCCGGGCTTTTCTATAGGAAAAAAAAAACTTGAGCCAAAACCGTAAAGGGGAAATCTTGCCTTCAGGTCTTTAATAAGTACCTATTTAATCCAAAATTCTTGGCTCGCTGCTTGTGAAAAAGGGAAAGTTCAGAGGAAATTGATATGAAAATTCGAATGACAAGATAATGCTGTACCCAGATAATCTCCAAGTATGGGTTGCTCTGGAAAGTCAGGGGAGAGGGAGATTCAGCCTCTGGGCGCTTTTCTAACAATTTAATTAATGACACAATCTGCTTATAGTATGCACTCTCTTACTCCAGACTGAGATATAAAGACGTTCCAACATCTGGGCAAATGAAACTGGTTATTCCCAAATGGTGGGGATGTCATGGAAAGACATTCTAAAGTCTAACCCTAAACTCATTGACTCAGAAGTCCATCCCACTGGGTTCAGCATGATTTAAGGCTGTATACACATTACTGTCTCAAAGCACATCTAGGTCCTTCTTTTTCTCAATTCAGACAGAAGCCTGTTGAGCGGGGGGAATGCATCAAAATGCAGTATTTCCCAAGGAACAACGGGATAGATGCAGGATGCTGAGCACACAGTGGTTTATACACAGCCTAAGTCTTCTCTGTTTGTATCCCTAGCACTGAAGTCTAGGAGGCTGTCAGCACCGAACAGAGGGACACAGAGATGGATTTAAAGTAATGCCAGAATAGATACCATCTCATAGTACCCCTGAAACAAAACAAAAGTTAATTCCACTGAACTAAATAACCCCCTTCTTTGCTTTCACAGACATGTGTTGTTGAAGTGATCCATGGTTTCTAATGCAATTATTGTGCCGTTTCTCTGCATTTATACCACTAATAACAGCTGTGGCACTACGGATGTGCATGACATCTTATAGGGCGCTTGTTTCTTTGGTTATTGGATTTCAATGAGAATTTCTTAATTATTTCAGTTGTAAAAAAGAAAAGAAAAGAAAAGAAAGCATAATATGACTATCAAATCTGAAACGGTGATATAGGTGCCCACTGACTTGTCTCCTTTTAACTATTATAAAAATGATTTGTTGGACATCAAAAATCCAGTTGTTTTATCCCAAGCAAGGCAGGGGAAGTCTATCACCCTGGGAGAAAATACACCAGCCTATTAAATTTCATCAAATGGAGCATTGTCACAGGTGAAGCTAAGTGCCCAATACCTATGGGAGAATCCAATGAGCAACAGCTTATCTCACATCACACGTTCATTGGGCAACTGTGCTTAACTTCAGCGGAAACTCCAGGCGAGTCACAGAGGAATGGCTGTAGGTTGTGCGATAGGTATGTTTTACTCCAAGTAAAATCCCTTCCTTCCTTCCTTTCTAGAGCCCTTTATCAAAAAATGACACAGGTGTCTCAGCCAAGTTAAACTCCTCAAGGCACATTTTGATTTATATTTTGTGGCGAAAAAAGGGTCTGAAAGATTTTTGATCAACTCTTCTCCAGTTCCTTATTTCATATAATTCACAAATCCTGAATGACTGAAGCATTTTCATACTCGTGCATCACCAGCATGGATTTGGGTTCTGATGCCGATTGTCAACCCAGAACCATCTGCAAGTGCAATTTTACCGTTCACTGCTTGCACAGATAATTGATGAATTTCTATGGGGCAATTTTTAATCCATGGAGTGCCCATTCTACTTACAAGATATTGCAGGTGGAAACCACAAGAACAGAACACGTACAGACACTTTGCAACGAACCTTCTCTACCAAAAGTCAATGCCCAGGGATCGCATCTGAGCCTGTTTCCTAACAAGGAAATAGACTGAAGCAATAGTCTTGTAATTAGATTACACCATGGAGGACAATGGGACTCCTCACCTCGTACATGCTTTCCCATCCTTCCTCCAAAGCTCCAGTTGAGCGTTACTTATTTTATCCCGCAACAAACAGACAAAGTAGATTTAGCATGAGAGAAAGCAACTTGCCCAAGGTTACCAGACGAGGTCCAGAATTTGAACTCAGGGCATCCTGATCTATCTCCACTCATTGCACCGTAACTTATCTGCCAAGCAAGGAGAAGCAAGTGGAAAGAAATGCTTGAACTTCAATTGGAAGGCGAGGAGTATATGCAGTCCCACAGAATAGAAATAAGCACCTTTCTGGGTCAGTACAACCCAGCAAGAGTCCTTTTCTCCAAATCGTACACAAATAAAGAGTTTGGCGGGGAGACAGATCCAGTTTCTACCAAAGAGTGTTTAAAAACCAGAAAAGAAACTGTTTAGTGGAGGGGGAGAAACACACCTTGCCTACGCCAGAGCAAAGCTATTGGACTCTTCTGATAAACTCATCAGCTCCTCCTAGTTCAGAGTTTATCTACACTCTTATTCAGCTCAAATGGAAAGCTCCATCCGATATACACATACACAGGCATCCAGACCACCATCGTTTTATTCCCGATTAACCCAGAATCACGGCCAGCATTCCATTTCCACACTCACAATAATCAGCATGGCTTAAAATCAACCTCATGTCACCTTTCAGCTTTAAATGAAGAAATTGGGGGAGAGGAGGAATCCATCTTTCTCCCACTTTTTTCTTTGCAATTTCAAAAAAAACCAAACCAAACAACAAAACAACTAACTAATGCATTTTAACCAATCCTGATAATTACAAAGGACCTTAGTGCAAAAGTAGAACACCTGTTCCGGATGCAGAAGGTACCAGGCTCAAACACTGGCATTTCCAGGAAGGACTTTGGGGGGGTGTTAAAATTCCTGCCTGAAAAACCAGAGAGCCACTGCCTGTCGGTGTAGACAATACTGATCTAGATGGAGCAGTGATCTGGCTGGGTCTAAGGTAGCTCTCTGCATGTTCCTACGAGCACTGGAGCAGATTCTCACTCTCCTTGTTCATGCTTGCAAAGTCCACCTGCTTCCCAAAATTAATACCATCATTTCTGACATTGCTAGACCAAGAGGATAGCTGTGTGCTAAGGGGAGGCAGAACGGGAGGTTTAGACCCTTACTGTTGGTGGTGACAGTGGCACCACCACACACACTGTCACGAAACCCTTTTTTTCAAGGGCACCACTGGAATAAGCAGGAGGTGTCAACAGAGCAGCTCTCTGCTTTGAGGACAGAAACTCAAACTGGAATTGAGTGTTTGCCCACTCAGAAATTGCCTTCTCCAAAATAATCGGATTGTCATATGGCCCTGCTCTGGAAAGAATTCTATGGGACTACATGGCTCAGTTGGTTAGAGCATGGCGCTGATAACGCCAAGGTTGCAGGTTCAATCCCCATATGGGACAACTGCGTATTCCTGCACTGTGGGGGGGTTGGACTAGAACTTGATGATCCTCAAGGTCCCTTCCAACTCTACAATTCTGCGATTCTATGAAACTTTGGAGATGGTGGTGAGGCCCTGATCCTCATCTTCCACCATGAACCGCCGGTAAATCCTATTGCCCACCAGCCACTGGGCCCTCCACACACCTGGGTCACCAACAGCATGTTGGGTCAGGGAAGTGATTGGCACTTTTTCATAGAGGGCCAGATTCAGCCTGGGGTCTCCAGTTGCCAGTCCCTAACTGGTGGAATTATCCTAACTCCAATCTGACCGATTGCGCTGATTTTTCAAGGGTGGGGGTTGCTCATGCTTGGAAAAGTTGTGGACACAACATGTTGTTTCTTCCTCACCAGCAGGACATATCCATAGCTGTCAACGTTTCCCTTTTTTAAAGGGAAATTCCCTTATTCCGATATAGGATTCCTCGCAAGAAAAGGGAAAAGTTGACAGCTATGGACATATCAAAGCAGGTTTCACTGACTTTGAACATGAATTTAATTTATTTTATTCCAAGTGTTCTTTATTCCACCTTTCCAAGGGGTTTGCGTTGCTCAAAGTAGCTTCCAATTATTTATTTTCTGGTACACAGTGCTGTCCTCACCAGCACAATCCTAGCTATTGAATGCAGCAAGGCTTACTCCCAGGTGAGGAAGGGGTAGGTCAACTTTAATTCTTAGTTATTGTTATTTATTAATTTTATATACCACTCGTTCATCCAGAGATCACAGGGCAGTTTACAACATAGAGCTATATCTATCACTTCATGTCTTGATAAGTTTGGTTTTCCTTTTAAATACTTTTTTTTAAAAAAAAAAGAAAGAAAAAATGTAATTTTTATGTAAAAATACATATAATTATAATTTATAATATGCTAATTATATGTTGTAAAAATGGTGTAAACCCCAATAGCAACAGGAGTGATAAATGTGAATCTCATCAAAGAAGGCTTCCCCTTCCTCCTCAAACTTTTCTACCACTTCCTTCGCCTGGAGAGGGCAAAGCAAAGGGTCCGCTTGGCAGGCGGCGAGGGCGAATCCCGGCAGCGGTTCTTACCGGAGCAGGAGTGGAGGGGTTTTGGCCGGACGATGAGCGACGCCGGGCAGACGGAGTAGAGCGAGAGCTTCTCGAAGTAATCACACGTCTCCTTGGACAGGATCTCGTCGATCATGAAAGTCTTGTAGCGCCGCCTGGCTGCTTTCAGCGGCCCCGGGGGAGCCAGCCGAGCTTCGGCTTGGCAGTGCATGGCTGGAGCGCCGAGCGAGGAGTCCCCGAGGAAAGCGCGGCGAGGAGGGCGGAGGAAAGCGAAGCGCGCCGGGGAAGGGGAGCGGAGTTTGGCCGGAACTGGGGGGGGGGGGGGTAGGCGGAGGCTGGCAGCTCTAGCCAAAAAGAGAGAGAGGAGGCTGGCCGGAGGAGATCGCCTGGCCAGGAGATCCAGGGATCCGCCTTCCTGCTGCGCCTGGCTCTGTGGCTCCCTCTCGCCCGCACCCAGCCTCCCTCCCGGCTTGTCTCTGTCTCTCTAGCTCTGCCTTCCCCACCTCCAGCCTCTATATAAGCCGCCGCGCCTTCGGAGGACAAGCCGGCTGTCAATCAAGTGCGCACCCCCACCCCCTTCGCAGCGCCCCATTGTTCGGGCCTGGGACGCCCGGGCAGGCAGCGCTTGCTATTTTAAGGACTGCTTCCCTCCCTTTTCCAGCTGGAAGGGCGCCAAGGCCTTGGGTTAGCTTAGGCTGGCTGGCTGGCTGGCTGGCTGGGGGGGGGGGACGGGACGGACGGACGTGAATGCCTTCCTCCTCCTCCTCCTCCTCCTCCTCCTCCTCCTTTTCCTCAAATCTGAACATCCCCAACCCTTTCAGGCAAGAAGGAGCGCTCCGTCTGCGAAGTTCGGGAAACTTTCGCAAAGCGCTTTTTAGACGGGGCCAGCAGCGCGATCCGAAATGTCCTCGAGGTTATTCCTCACCGGTTGCTGCCTTGCGGAGGGGTGGACTAGATGACTCTTGGTATCCCTTCGAACTCTTATAATTTGTTTACACACACACCCCACACGGGGTCCCAGCGATCCCCAAGGAAGCTTAGTCACCCGTCTGAAAATATCTGGACACTTCCCAGCTGCAAACCCTGGTCTTCCCTTCCGCGCGCTCGCTCCGATGTCAGCGGCGCTTGATTCGCTTTGCGCGGCCCCGGAGCGGGTGCTGGAGGCTGCAGACACTGATTTGAGGAGTGGGGGTGGAAACCTCTATTGTGCACACTGAGGTCTACTTTGGAGTAAGCGTGCCAGGGCTTGCTCTGTCAATCCCTCCCACGTTAAGCCCCGGGACTTCCAACCACGGCTGCGATCCTATCGCTCCCTGCTTTGGAAAGTCGACGCAGCGTCCGGAGTTTGCGCGCGGGGTCGGGCCAGGAAAACACTTCCTTGTGGCCTGGAGCGGGGTCGCTTGCAGGGTCTTCCGGAGCCCATCGAATTGTACTTGCGGTGCTGACATGATTTTGCCATGACATATATATCCTTTTGAGAACATTCTTAGTATATTCACGTCGGTTTTGTTAGATCTGAGTTGATACACCCAACGCTAAAAACATCACAAAGAGTCAGCAGCTGGATCTGAGGTGAATCTGAGGTCTGCCCTCACCTTTGCGGTGGTGTTTGAGGGATTCAGTCTCTAAAAGAGATTTCCGTCCCCTCTTTGCCGGGTAAAGAGCAAGGAAGAACTAAGGAGCCAGTCAAGGGAGATCCAGCTTGCCGCAAGATCCGTTTCTCCCTGAATCTGCCCTCGGTTACTCCGGCTCGCTAAGGCGCAATTTATTTGGGATGGGGAGTAACCAATACCGGCAGCAAACCCAAGACGTGGCGACGCTTGCATTTTCTCCTCTCTTTCAATTCTGCTCGCTGGTTGGCAAAAAAGAAAAAGAAGAAAAAAAGGCTGTCGATGTTCATCTTCGGAATTATTGTTCTTGTTGTTATTAAAGCTTTTTGAACTCCTTGGCCTCTTCTCTCTCTCTCCCCCCCCTCGGGATTTTGTTCCTCGGGGCCTTTCATGCCTCAGTTTGATTTGTTTTAAATCCACCCACCCACCTCTGCAGATGCCACTAAAAAGAAGAAAAGTGTAGGAAAACAAAAAACAAATTTTTTTATGCGCGCTGTAAAGGGTGCTGCTGTACGTTATCTTTTGCACTGCCCGCTAATGAAAAATTATAAAAATAAAATAAAATTGCAGAGGTCACCAGGCTTCCTTGCAACTATCCTCCGCGTAAATAAAAAAGCAAAAAACCACGAACAGCCGCGGAGCCGCTGCCTTTTCCTTCTCTCTGGGTGTCCGCTTGATGTTTAGGACTTGCCATTTCTTGTTTCCCGGGGATCACGGCCCTTGCAGCTCTCCCAGTTGCTTTCACCATCGTGCCACGCCTCGTTCTGTGCCAAGGCGAACTGTCATTAATTACTGAATATATCATTATTATTAATTACATTTCTTTGCGTAGTGTGACACTATTTCAAAGCGATTTAGCAATATAAAACACAACCAGATAAACTCAGTTAAAAATTAGAAGGGGGAAGAAACCATTAAAAAGCCAAAGATTATTAATGGCTGAAGGCCTGATTGCGGAGGAATGTTTTCTCCTGGCGCCTTATATATGTGTAGTTTTTGGTTTTTAAACACACACACACACACACACACACAACCTCCTTCAGAAGAGCTATTTCTGTGAGCCAAGGTCCTTTCCCTCAGGCTGCGCGTTTGCAACGCAGACTTCTCCAATAGTAAGGAAATAAAACCTTTCAAAAACTCCTATGCAAAGTGTCCCCCAAGAAGCGCGCGTTATTCCAGCAACCTCGGCCCGGATCCGCCTTCCCCGCCGGGCTCGGACAGGGCCAGGGGTGCTTCGCCCGAGTTTTTCTCAGTCTTTCGGACCCGCGAAGCTCTTCGTCTCTTGCGAACCTTCCTTTGGAGCTGCGGTCTGCGCTGCGTCAGGCCCTTCAGTGCTGGCGGAAGGGAGTGTGTGTGCTCGATCTTCGCCTGCAGCCGCAGACACACCTACTCGCGAGTAAACTGCACTGAAAACAGCGAGGCCGGCTCCTCCCGAACGGATACGCTCAGGATACCTGCCCTGTAAAATTTAGGCATTTGACAATATTTGGATCGGGCCATTCTGTGTAAAACTTTACAAGGCAAAGGAGCGAATAAAACGGCTTAAGCAAAGTGAACAAGCAAAGAAACAAATAGCACCCAAATAAAATATCGGGGATGTTATCGCTCGTCTCTGTTTTGTTGGTGGGGAAGGAATGGGATCGACTGAGCCCCCAGATCACTTTTCACTTGGATGCCTCAGAAAGGGACCTTTTGACTCCTTTGGTCTCCCCCCCCCTCCCCCAAGTCCTTTAGGCTGCAATCCCAGACGCAGTTCCCTGGGACACAGCTGTCAACGTTTTCCCTTTTTTAAAAGGGAAATTCCCTTATTCCGAATAGGATTCCTCGCAAGAAAAGGGAAAAGTTGACAGCTATGCCCTGGGAGGAAGCTCCACTGAACCCAGAGAGACTTACTTCGGAGTAGACACGTTTAGGATTGCAGCACTGCTTCTTAAAATATGTTAATATGCAACTGGAAGTGAGCCCCCTTATATCGGTGCGGGGGGGTTAGACGCAGGAAAGCGAGCAGAGAATGGCATTCTTCGGCTACGAATGTAATGGGGGTTGGGGACATAAATATAGGTGTGGGGGCTGCCTTTTAAAGCGCTCTGAGCCCCCAGGAGACAGGAAGGTATTCATGTTCGCATAAATGCAATGAATATATCCCAGAGGACTACGTTGCTAATTTTTTAATTTTCTTTCTCCTAACGTTATGCTGACCGCACAATAGCAATCCAAACATTTCCGTGTCTGCAAAAGTGAGGAATAACGTGGTTCGTAATATCTCCGTTGCGATATCACCATCGATCTATAGATCTATACCTCCATCGCAATTTTTCTTTGCACTGGGGGAGTTGCCATTGTCTTCCGTGGGTTTCCATGCGTAAAATAGTACTCAGAGACCTATAAATTCACAGCAGCAGTTTCGAGCTCTTTTCATAAATAGGTAGCTTTGGGTCCTCTACTATAATATAACATATTTCCTAACGCTATGGATTATTTTTTTCCTATTAATCAATAATGTCCTCTTCGACTGCGAAGTTTTGCGCTCATATATTTTTCCGCTGTGAATTCCGCTCCCCTTTTCTGAATTTACCTTCGTATTTTTTTAATGGCCCCACTGGGCTCTCCAGGATTGTCAAAACAACCTGATCCACGACAAATGCAAAACTATCACATGGAAATCAGCAAAGTCCCATTCTGTTGCATCGAAACTGCTCGGGGCAGGGCTGGGATTCAGCGACATGAAACTGGAAAAGTCACCACTGTTGGTTTATAATGGCTCCTTACAATGAAAAAAATGGGGGGGGGATGGTGGTAATAATAATAATAATAATAATAATAATAATAATAATAGATGCATATGGATTTAAAATGCACCACATCCAAATTCTTTTTTAAAAACAAAACAAAAGCTTTATAAAAAATCAAACCCTGTCGTGTAATAAAGCGAGATCCCGTGATGTGCTGATGATCCCTGTTGCGAGGACTGGCAAGGACCCGGGGGTGGGTCACCCAGCAGAAGTCAACCACCACCTCCGGTAGGAAGGGAAGGGGACAGGTGAAACCCAACTCTTACTTCTGAGAAAAGTACCACTGTCTTCAGTGGGCTTACTCCCAGGAAGGTGTGTGCCATGCATAGCTGACAGCCCCAGGACACAGAACGCCCCACTGGATCCCAATGGGATCTGGTCCTGACTCCCTTGTCTCGCGCCCGCACAAACCAAAGCCAGCGGGTGACAGACAAGGAAGTTTTTACCCAGAGAGCAGACCCGTTGAAATTGAGTGGAACCTTCATGTTAAATGACTGCCCAGTCATTTCCATAGGTCTCCTCTGAGTCGGACTGACGTTGGCTAGTAGCCCCCGACGTGTGGCATCTAACATCACAGAGCACAACAACAACCACAAAAGGCCACCGAGATCACAGGGAAAGCAGGTAAGGAGAGGCGAATTCACGCGCCCTGGTCGTACTGGCCCGAAAAGTTCCTTCTTCTCATCCCAAGCGTGTTCCCTGGGAAGCTTTAGTTAGGTGCAAACCCATTGAGAATTACTTTGTTCTCTCCCCAAGCGTGCTTCCTTGGAGGGCTGCTTTCTGGACATCCGTGTCACTCTGTAAGTCGAGGATCGGGGCCCGGGGCTGAAAAGCATCATCTCCTGCAACTCTTCCTCCCCAGAGCCCAGACTTGTTCGTTAGTCTTCTTCCCCCCCCCCTTTGCTCACCAAAAACTTTCATTAAAGGAGAGGGGAAATAGCAGTTCGGTTCCGCGCAGCCTCCCCGCCCCCCGCCAAATTAAGCCGGATGAGATCCTGACACTGAGCGAGCCTTTGTATTAGTTAATCTATTATTTATTTCTTTT